GTCCTTTTAAAGCACTGCCTTGAATGGAAGTACCACGTATCAGTCCACGCAAATCTAAAAGTCTCTATTACCGAGTCAGAGTCCTTTTCAGCAGGCGCGCCGGAAGCAGTTTGGGATTGGGGGGGCAAACATTCCAGGGGGCTCACCTTCCGAGGGCAGTGACGTAATGAGAAAAAACGTTCGGAAGGGGGGGGGCAGACGAAAAATCTGCATCACCACCAGTCTTACACGTTACATGCAGGTCCCGCGGAAAGTATTAACGATCAGGTAGAGCGTAAATTGGCGTGGGGTCCAGCCTCGGCAGGGTGTCAAGGGGCTGAGCCCCCGGAAGCTCAGGGATTTTAGGTATTTAATTACGGTTAGATGAGCATCCAGGGGCCTCTTTAAGGCCATTGACGTGTTCCAGAGGGGGGGGGGAGCCCCCAGAAGCTCAGAGGTTTTAATATTTAACTACGGTCAGATGAGCAACCAGGGGCCGCCCTAGGGCACTTGGTGGGGTCCAGGGGGCAGGGCCCCCGGAAGCTCAGGGGTTTTAGGTATTGAATAATGGTCAGATGAGCATCCAGGGGCCCGCCTTATAGGGCCCTTGGTGGGGTCCAGGGGGCAGAGCCCCCGGAAGCTCAGGGGTTTTAGGTATTTAATAATGGTCAGATGAGCATCCAGGGGCCCGCCTTATAGGGCCCTTGGTGGGGTCCAGGGGGCAGAGCCCCCGGAAGCTCAGGGGTTTTAGGTATTTAACTACGGTCAGATGAGCAACCAGGGGCCGCCCTAGGGCACTTGGTGGGGTCCAGGGGGCAGGGCCCCCGGAAGCTCAGGGGTTTTAGGTATTGAATAATGGTCAGATGAGCATCCAGGGGCCCGCCTTATAGGGCCCTTGGTGGGGTCCAGGGGGCAGAGCCCCCGGAAGCTCAGGGGTTTTAGGTATTTAATAATGGTCAGATGAGCATCCAGAGGCCCGCCTTATAGGGCCCTTGGTGGGGTCCAGGGGGCAGAGCCCCCGGAAGCTCAGGGGTTTTAGGTATTTAATTACGGTCAGATGAGTATCCAGGGGCCCGCCTTAGAGCCCTTGGTGGGGTCCAGGGGGCAGAGCCCCGGAAGCTCAGGGGTTTTAGGTATTTAATTACGGTCAGATGAGCATCCAGGGGCCCGCCTTAGGGCCCTTGGTGGGGTCCGGGGGCGGAGCACCCGTAAGCTCTGGGGTTTTAGGCATTTAATTACGGTCAGATGAGCATTTTTTATGCCTTATTTGTGACATTGGCAGGTCACTTATTTTTTCTCTCCGTCTTTCTTTCTTTTTCTCTTTAACATACTTTTTCAAAAAGTGAGGGGGGAGGGGCTCGAGCCCAGCCACTTTGCAGACCATGTCATAAAGGCTTCTAAATAAGCGTATTTTTCGCCCGACTGTAATTTGGGAATTTCTTATTTTCCAACAAACGCATAAAAAGGTATGACTTAAAAACAAATGGAGAAAAAATACCGGAAAATCATGTCATAACAGCAACATGTGTAAATCACTGGTATCGTATAGATATACCCCCCCCCCCCCATCAGTACGCCAGCGTTCAGGGGCTCATGTCTTCTCACCCCTATAACAAAACCAAAAAAACAGACACGTTTTCCCATTCTCGCACAATATGTCCACGATATGCGCGTATCGCTATTATAAACCGTATAGGTAGCATGCGCAATGTTTATAAAAATTTAATTCCTGTGAACTTTCCTTTTCTTTGAATGGAATGGTATATGTGCTTTAATTCAGGTTTTTATTATTGTTATGTTCTTTTGGGTTAAAAATACAAACCATGTTTATTCCTTTACTGTTTTTTTTTTTTTTTTTGGAGGGGGGGGGGGGCGTTTTGGGGGGGCAAAAATGCGTTTTGCCCCCCCCACTTTTTTGACTGGGGGGGCAACTGCCCCCCCTGCCCCCCCACTTCCGGCGCCTATGCTTTTCAGGACTCCTCAAACCTCTCTCTCACTCACACACATGTTGCACCCGCAAACCTACTGTATATCTACATCACCATGCAAGCCGACACTTACAAGCAGCATCTGACCCTCTCGTAGCCTTATAAACAGCGACCCTCTTCCCGGGCATGGTGGCTCAGTGGTTAGAGCGCTCGCCTCATGAATGGGAGGTCGTGGGTTCGAACCCCGGCCGAGTCATACCAAAGACTTATAACAATGGGACCTTCTGCCTTCAAGCTAGGCGCTCAGCATATTAGATTGGAGTAGGGAAGTAATAACATTTAGTTATGCAGGGCCCGCTGGAGCAGTTTCATAACTGCAGTGGCTACCCTGGGAAAATGAAACGTTTTTATTATTATTATGAATAGCGACGCTCATTTCATATTATGAATAGCAACCCTCATTTCGAATTTTTAATAACGACCCTGTTCTTCTATATAATTATGAATAGCGACAATCATTGCCTATTTTTGAATAGCTTCCCTTTCCTAGCATTATGAATATAGACCCCTATGCAGGCGCGTACGCAGGGGGGGGGGGTTAAACCCCACCCCCCCCCCCTTTGGTATTTTTATGTGTGTAAACCCCCTAAAAAATCCCTAAAACCCTCCTCCCCCCCCCCTTTGGTTTTTATTTTTTTATTTTTTTTTATTCTTTAAAAAAAAAAAAAAAAAAAAAATCACCCCCATGGCTGACCTAAGAAAGGTGACCTTACCCCCTTCCCCCCAACGGAGCAAAATGTCAATTTTTCAAATTTTGAGACAAAAAAAAAAAGTGTCCCCTTACCCTTACCCTTACCCTTACCCTTAAGAGTCGAGAACGGTACAACAAATTGTCTTCTTTCTCTAATAATTTAATGAAACGTGAAAGCTTCCTCGCTTCGCGCGGGATGGGCGAAAATGAATTCAGACAAGGATTAAGAGTCGAGAAAGGTACGACGAATCGTCTTTTTTCTTTAATAACATCATAGATTCTGCGCTTCGCGCGAAACAAGAAGTAAGAGTCGGGAACGGTACAACAAATCGTCTTCTTTATCTAATATTTTAATGAAGTATCAAAGCTTCCGCGCTTCACGCGGGAGAACTGAAAAATGACTTAGTTCCGTGGCCCCGGGATTTTAGAGTTAAATTTGTACACATTGGGGCATTGGCATTTATATATTTGTCGGTAATCGGTGGACTGTACAGCCCCCCCCCCCCCACTGAAAAAGTTCTAGCAACGCCCCTGATAACACAGTTTATACACGCGACATAATTTTTGAAAATACTACTGGTAATGTACGAGACCACCTTCTTTGTGCATTCCATTTTCACCTCTGATAATTAGCCTTTGTACTTTGACACGTGCTCCTTTTCTTTTCTAATAAGTGTCTTAATCCTTTCGATAAATGTCCCCTTTTCCTCTCATCATTAAACGTGCCCCTAATTTCAAGCGACTATAAGAGCAATTTCCCCCAAAGCTCGCTCGTAGTTATAGATGTTATAACTATATGTAACTTACCAAAGGTCTTTTCAGTCTCCCGTTATGAAAAGGTGCTTAGAACCCCATCAGCATTGAGCGTTTCCTCTTCATAAGATGTATTTTTTTGCACTGCGACCTCATAAATCTTTAAAAAAGTTCCTCGCTCGCAAATGACTTTTCAGACCATCAAACCCTTTTATGAAAGCCAGCAGAGTGTGCAGATGATGATCTTCATTCCCCATTAAATTGTTAAAACTCTTATCTTTAATTTTCAACCTTGAAAACAACCTTTTCCTCTGTCGTACATATGTCTTATAAACCATTAAATAATGCTTTTAGATGAGAGCCCCTTTATTATGACACGTGCCTCAGCTTTGAAATGGTGTTTAGGTCATGATTTAGTCAAAGGTCATACGGTAGTGTTAAATCCGTTTAAAGGCGAAGTCAACTCTAAAAATAATTTGCTTTTAGCGGAAGCAGAAAAACATGTGAAACAGAGCAAATTAATTTTTTACTAAAATCGGATAATTGTTAAGGAAGTTGTTGATTTTTTTTGTTGAGGTATGGAAACTATGAAACTTGAAAAATCCGTATAATTTAGTTACAATGTGATGAGGTAGCTTTGAAGAAGAAAAAAATGAAATCTAGAGTCTGTTAATTACTCTCCGCACTTAATTGCACGCCAAGTTTTAGTTTCACTGTGCACCCAGTAGCGTACGCATTTTTGTTTAAGAGGGGAGGGGGGGGGTTTACATTTTTAAATCGGGCCGAAAATTTCGCAACGACTCAGCCAGCCGCTGAATAATAGAGGGGGGGGGGGTTAGGGGACAATTTTTTTTTTAATCCCAACGACTCAGCCAACCGCTGAATAAGAGGGGGGGGGGGAGGAGGGAGGGGTAAGAGGACAATTTTTTTTTTGTCTCGAAAATTGAAAAATTGACATTTTGCTCCGTTTAGGGGGGGGGGGGGAATAAGGTCACCATTTTTATAGGTCGGCCATTGGCTGATAATTATATTTTTTTTTTTTAATTAAAAAACAAAAAACAAAGGGGGGGGGAGTTTCCTCCAAAAAACACACATTAAAAAAAATGAAAGGGGGGGGGGCTTTAACCCCAAACACCCCCCCCCCCCCCCCCCCCCCCTCCCCCGCCCGCCTGCGTACGCGCCTGTGTGCACCATTTGATCATTTCGCGTGTACAATTATATCATTTAAGAGTTATGCTCCAGAGGCCGCCGTCGATTTCAAGCTTATACCGCTCATGATGGCAGTCTCCTGCGTTTTTTTTTTGTAGTTTATCTTTTTTCATTGGAAATGTTTGTGACATGCATAATTTCCTTTTCGTTTTCGCCTGGACGTTTTGGGGACACTTTACCTCCACCCCATAAAGTAAAGTAATTTGGCGTAAAGTAATTTGGCGACAATAGTCAAATCACTGACTAATCGCCAATAACTCAAAACACAACAACAACAACAACCATATCCCACTCCCTCCCTCGGCCACACGCACACACACAAAAACATGGGCACAAACCACTGAACACTGATGGGCGCGCGCTGGCTTCCTCATCCACGCATAATCGAATGCATGGTGCTGGCTGGCGCGCGGCAGTCCAGTGTTCAGTCGTGTAAACACGTATGCTATAGTGTATAGTACCATAGTACGTGCGTAGGAGGCCTACGTGGATATGATATCTATCTTGAATTATTAGTTGCGAGCAAGTTGAAGGTCTAGCTTCTGGAAGGAATCACTGGATCTAGATCTACATTTGCGATGTAAGTTTAATATTAAAGTATAGATAGATCTAGAAAAGTCTAGTCTCTACCCTGTAGTAGCTGTACTGAATGCAAGTGTTAGACGAAACTAGTTTAGGTCTCCCTCACTCACGTCATGACTAGCTCACTCGTCCTCGCCCTGCTGTCCCCGACCAGTAGGCCTAGGCCAATAGGCCTACCAGTGGCATTGCCGCATTGCCAGCTATACTAATAATACTAGACCGAAAGCTTCAGTCTCTATATCGTCGGTTGTTCCACTGAGCTACGTCTGGCTCCACTAGACCTCCGGATATAGAGACTGAACGATCGCCTATCCTATGCCATCGTATGTTGAAGATATCACGGCTAGATTTTAGCCGTTAGGCGTTAGGCCCCTCCCACAAACATGACCTGATGACAAACTTAAGGGGAAATAGACTAGACATCATTTATCTTCAATTGCAGTAATTTTCTAGGCAATTGTCAGTCCCTAAAAGTTCCCTTTTTACCCCCCTTCCCCACGATAATAGAAATGAAATAAAAAGGACTTACCGAGCTTTTGGCTCCTTATCGATAACTCACGTCAAGCATTGACCGACAAAAATCAAAATGGTGGCTAATGAATATTCAATGACCTCGCCTTGGCTAGCTCCTCCGCGCGTCACGTCGAGGATAGCGCGTGCACTTGAAGCAGACAACATGAGAACTCAAACGTGAGTAGCAGCAGCGTGATGTACATGTACGTGCACATACGCGCACGTCTATGAATGAGGTCAATTGAATGGGGTGGAGACTAAAAAATTTTGGCATGAATATTCATTACTTTGATTCAAGATGGCTGACGTCTGAAGACAGTCAAGTGGAAGAGATAACACTTTTTTGAAGAAGATTTCATATGCAGAGGTCCAAGGTACATATTTTCTTAATGTTTATCATGTGTGGTTTAATTTTAAATGCGAATTTATATGATAGTGCATGCGATTCTTACAAAAAAAGGATTCAACTTAGCGTCAGGGCAGTATCGTCTTATCGTATACCCGTAGACTGTATCTTCAACATACGATGGCATAGGCGACCGTTCAGTCTCTATATCCAGAGGTCTAGTGGAGCCAGACGTAGTCTCAGTGGAACAACCGACGATATAGAGACTGAAGCTTTCGGTCTATACTAATACTAACTCCGGGAAGCTCCCCTCCGACGCCTTCGGCATCGGCGTCGGCGTCGGAGCTTCCGGGAGTTCTACTTTTGATTTTTTTTTTTTAAATTTTATTTCTGCATTTTTTCCATGTAAAAGATAACTGAATAACAAAGAACATATAAATGTAAGGTATATAAATACAACATAGAGTAAAGGAGCCGGTAATCGGCCAGCTCCAGTTTTCGGCCGATTGGTTGGATGCAAGGTAAAACACTCTAAAATACATCGCATAATAGCATAACACATATCCCACTCATACCATACCATGCCAGTGTCACTGAAGAACCACATTTGCAATGGAAAATATATCCTAAAATATCACATTTTAGCGATGTAATCGCCGGTCCCGCTACCCAAATCTCAAAAATCAAGTATCTTACGCGTGTCTGTAAGAAATATGGGTACCATAAAATGAGCTTTATTTCAAGTATTTTTCAGATTTAGAGCCCGATTTTGTGCTAGTCGCAAGCTCAAAAGTATGTCATCGCATGTATTAAATCAATGCAGCCGCACACCGCGACGCACACACGATATCTCTGTCTAATTCAGATTCCAACTTCCGATCACCGCTGTGCCTGTCTTCGGCCAGGCGAGCACCAGGGAGCTCCGGCGTGGGATACCTGCTCCGCCCGCTTGTGCTGTACGTCAGCGCGGAAACGCACGGCGCGCGAGCGCTTCCTATTGACTTTGTACATGCGGCCGTAAACTGAAACGCTCGGCCGATAACTGGCTCCAAAACAGTGAAAATTGAAATGAATATTGTCATGGCAATTCGTGATTTTTTTCTGGGATTCTTTTTTTGTTTAGATAATATTAATATTTGCTTCATGATTTGAACAAGAAATGATAATAAATAGGAAATAAAGAGTCCTAAAAATAGGATTTTGTCTTAAAATGGCCGAAAACGGGCTCCTTTACTCTAAATAAACAATAATTTCTTCATGTCAAAATGTTTTTTTACATAATATAATCATATAATAACGAAACTTAATATTTCCATAACATATAATCATAAATTTAAAGTATTAACCAAACTATTCTGTTGGAAAAGTGCAGGAGACCGCAATCATAAGCAAAGCTTGACAAGGATGGCGGCCTCAAAAAAACAAAAACAAAAAAATCTTAAGGTAAACCTTAAAATGAAAAAGTGTTTAAACGATCTTTGTGTATGAGTTGGTGAGGGTGTTGTGCAAATGTATATATATATATATATATATATATTGTGTGTGTGCGTGTGTGCATGTGTACGCGAGCGTGTGCGTGGTTGTATGTGTTTGTAACGAATATACATGGAAGTGCACGTAGCTCTGGTATAGAGGAGTGGAAACATAGCCTTTACAATAAAGGAAACTAAGAATACGAAATAGGAAACAAAATTTGCAATGTGACCAAAATTTGACAATTGCCTACTGCATGTTGAAATCAGTTAAGTAGATACTTCGATATAAGAGTTTTTTTGAGAGATGCTTTAAAAGAATAGAGAGATGAACAATGCCTTATTGAATTTGGTAAGGAGTTCCAAACATCTGGTCCATGATGTCTTACTGGTTTTTGTGCTAAAAGTATTTTAGGATTTTCTAAGTGATAATTTGTTGAACAACGGGTGGGGTATGTGTGAATGTTTGAGTTTAAACTGTAAATATTGTGAAATAGGGATGGTAGTTGATTATGAGAATATTTATACATAAAAATGCATGTCTGAAAAATGTGGATATCTTGTATTTTTAATGTTTTTAAACGCTGAAATAAAGGTTCCGTGTGTGATATATAATGTGAGTTAGTGATTATGCGAATCGCTCTCTTTTGAAGCAAAAATAAGGAATTAATTCTTGTTAAACTACAATTACCCCATACAATATTACAATATATCACATGTGATAATATTAGAGAATTGTATAATATAATCATAGATCTTTCAGAAAGAATTTTGTTTAACTTATACAGTATTCCAATATTCCTTGATACTAATACTAGACAGAAAGAACCATCTGGTATGCATCATTCTTTAATAAAAACTGACTTTTGTCGACATTCCCCATAGATCTACTACTCTAGGGTCTACACAGACGGCCGGTATGACCGAAGTATATCTAGGCTGTGTGGGGAAGATCGCGGCTAGTCTACATCTAGATTTTAGTCGTTAGGGCTTAGGCCCCTCCCACAAACGTGCTGACAAATGTACTTGAGCAGAAATGCAGCATTTCACCTTAATTGCAGTAGTTTTCTAGATATCATGACTGTTACATATAGTCAAACACTCAACTAGACGGTGCTAGACCGGCCCTAATAATATATGAAGGAAAAAACAAAAGGACGTAGGGTCTAGGCTATACTGTAGACCTACCAAACTTTTGGCTGCTTCTTGATGATCCACAGCAAGCATTCTCACTGACAGAAATAAAAATGGTGGCTTATGAATATTCAAATACGATATGAGGATGGATGGCCTCCGGGCGTAGCGTCGTGGAACTCAAACGCGCACGTCTATGAATGAGGCCAAGGGGTGGAGACTCAAAAAATTTGTCATGAATATTCATTACTTTGATTCAAGATGGCTGACGATAGTCACAGTCTGAAGACAGTCAAGTGGAATAGATAATAACACTTTTTTGAAGAAGATTTCATATATGCAGAGGTCCGAGCTTGTATTATGATGGGATTTAATAGCAGAGTGAGAGAATGAATTGGATGTATCAAATGAAATGCATTGCATAGACTATGCTTTTTGCAGAAGCAAAGTCACACACACATGCACAAATGTTCGTTGATATTTGATATTCGATGTTTGATATGTGTGGCATGATTAATTTTGTTAGGAATGTTATTTGTTATTTGTACCAAATTAAAGATAAACTTTAGTTCTGGTTAAAAAAAGAAAATCAATTCTCACAGAATCTAACGAAACTTACACTGAATGTTCAAGATTACAAATAAATGTCATGTGCCAAACAATTTTGGAAGAAAATGTATACTGGCTGAGTAATGAGCATAGAAAGATAAGGAAATCAAGTAGTACTAGCCCCGACACCATTTGTGTTGTCCCATATACATCTTTCTGTGTAGTGTGTTTGTTACTTTACCAAGACTGAGCCAAATTTGATATGAATTTAATGACTCCAGAACCTTGCAGTACACACCAATACTTACATGCTACATGATCAACTTTTTCTGATGCATTCCACACCTTTTCTTTAACAATTTAATCGCATGACCAGAACTCAAGTTTATCTTTAATACCTAATTCCCAATTTTGTTATTCAAACATCACATAGACTCTACATGTAAATAACTTTGGCGCTAGTCGATTTTTACACTCTCGCAAAAAATGTCTCCCTTTCATCCAAGCGCGAACACATACCACACAAAAATTATACCGAATGATTTGGGATAAAACACTCTTTCATATAATAATTTACTGTTCATAGATATTTTTTTTAATAATTAGCAATTTTCTAGGTGTAAACTTTTTTTTGACTCACACTGAGGTCTTTGTGTTCACTCCCCTAGTTCCCATTGCGCAACGATTTGCGATCAATACCAAACTTAAAACGAATTTCTGATTGGTTAATGGTCAGGCTTTTGAATAATATATGCATGCAACGATGATCCTGAGTGGTCATTGTCATTTTGCAATTGATTGCGAAACTGTTACATGTTCTTTGTGTGTTTCAGATACTGTGATCATTGTTTGGTAGAGGAAGATGAGGAGACTAAATAGGAAGGAGACATTGAAGGTTGTAAAGGAATTGGATGCCTTCCCTAAGATTCCAGAAGATTATGTCAAGACTACATCTACTGGAGGAACAGGTAATATCTATCATAAGGCCTTAAAGGGATCCAGTAATTTTGTCTTAGATCCTTTGAAAATATCCTTGATTTAGTTCATGCTGCAATGATAATTATAAACCTTTAGGTCAGTCGGGAACCCCGTGACTTTTACAAGCCGATCGCCAGTCTGATTATCAAATTTTGCGTTTGCCAAGCGGTTTTCATACAGTCTACAGTCTATTGGGGAAAACGAGTATGGTAAAACCGGTCACTCAAAGGTTTTTTACTTTTTGAGGCACTTCTTGATCATTTTGAAGCGCAATTTCGTTTGGGCTTCAATATAACACCATATCACAGACACTGATAACACGTAGGACCGTGCATCTCAGATTTAACATTGTTAAACGATGCCTTTAAAGGTACTACATGTCCCATTTGCCGGCCCAAAAAATGAAAAAGTTAAATTCCAACTGCATTTGAAAGATAATACTAACTTAGAACTTCCCTAAAAAAGATAGGGCTTAAAAATGTCTTCAAGTGGGAAAATAGCGACTATTAGTTGCCAAATCAACTTTAGGGCTATAGAGCCCAAAAGTAATAGTCTTGATTTTCAGACAATTGTACCCAATGGTCATACGTTTTATGCTGCGCAAAGATTCAATCATTTTAATCTTGGCCATCACAAGAAGTGGGTTATTGATGTAGACAAATGCTCATGTACCCTTTACAACTCTTTTCATGTATGTTATTACCAAAGAAGAAAAAAGCCAGTCAGTCACTCAATAGTGTCTGACAGTGAAGTCTAGCAAGTAAACAGGTTTCCTTGCATTATTTGAATATTAGGACACTGCTAACATTTAAATTTCACAGATAGGACATACATGACATATTCATGATTCCTGCAAAGTTCTACAGAATTTGAGGTTGGCTGCAAAAGGGACATAGTACCTTTAATGTGTGTGGGACTATTGTTAATTCACTACTGCACTTGTGCTCCATAGGAACACCAACATCAGTCTAAGCAGGACATAATTCAATAATATTTGCTAGATGATCTGCAGACCCATTTCGATTGACATTTCATGTGGCTCGTAGTAAGACAGGAGAGCGCACATTCACTGTTGCAGCAGCTAAGGAGTGGAATAAACTTCCCTCCAGTATAAAAGCTGCTCCATCAGTGGATGTTTTTAAGAAACTCCTTAAAACCTACTTATTTCCTACTTGATTCGCTTGTTTTTTCAATGTTATGTTAAGATTTGTTGTTATATTGTTATATTGCATATTATTGTAAGCACTGTGATATAGTACTATGAATAGCGTAGCTAAATGCCTAATAATAATAATAATAATAAGAATAATAATCTGCAATGTTTATGCAGCATTTTCTTGGAATATCTAAATATTGTTACATCACGCTACAATGTACTTTTTATTCCATTCTGATAAATCCAGAAGTTTACCATAAGATATATATTCTATGGTCTCATTAAAAAATTTAAAAAATTAAATGTAGCTTTAAATTCTATGTTATAATCCATGTTTTCTCAATCAAATACTTAGGCAGTGTATTTTAGTATTTATTTGAAATATTTTACGATTCATTTTACACTGTAATCATATGCTTGTAGGTCATGTAGTGATCATATTTTACAAAATTTAAATTTAAATCTTACCATTCTTCATTAATTTCCTATTATTGCAGTATGTGTACTGTTCATATTTTACCATTCATTTGTGTTTATTGCAGTATCTATCGTAACGTTCATCGTGATAGCCGGTCTGGTGATCTCAGAGTTCATGTATTACCTGGACTCCAGGATGAAGTATGGTTATGATGTGGATACAGACTTCAACACTAAATTACAGATCAACATCGACATTACTGTGGCAATGAAATGTGATTGTAAGTATTAAAGGCCCACTGCACTACTTGTAGCTACTTGCACCCTCTATATAGAAAACTTCCCCAATCGGTGCCTGTTGGTCCCCCATGATCCTCTTTTTCTTATGTTAGTTGAGAGCTGAGTTAATGAGATAGCCACCTGTCAGTGACCTCGCTGTGTGGTCTAATCCTTTCTGGCCCAGTAGTATTGATAGTCTTTAAAGAATATCACTATTAGCTTTTAATAGCAAGGTATTTTACCATCAGCGCTAGTACCACTGTTGTAATGTATTTTCAATTTCAGTGAAGTCGTACGTTGAGCGAGTTCTGGTTCTTACGTCTACGCATCACAATGTGTGCGTTGTGTGATGCATTGTGGGCGTTGTGTGATGCATTGTGGGATATGGTTGTCAACACATTGGGATATTCTGTAGATGTAGATGGCACAATACATAAATCTGAAGTAGTGTCAGTAGAATACCCTCCCTTTAAAGGGGCCAATTACCCACAAATAATTTCCCCTCATGAATGGTTTGGGTTCCAATACTATAATATCAGCTTGCAGTATTCTATACCAAAGCAGAGACCCCAAGTTCAAAGATCAGCTATGCGTGACATTTTCTTGACTCCGCGCATCGGCGAGGGTCTAACTTATGTATATGTACCATAGCGTATAGCGTTTTTTCAAAATCGCGCCTGCATCGTGCGTGAGAGCGTTTTCAGACCCTCGAAATGCGTGACGTCACACATAATGCGTGACACTTGGTAGCTCTGCAAAAGGCAAAATGAGGGTATTATAAATCATCTGTTCATAGCCAGAAAGGCATCAACTCTCTATTAAAGTACATGAGTTAATGCCCTTCTGGCTCTAAATACCTGGTAGAAGAAATACTCACTAAGTGAATGTAAAAATGACTATAAATTGACTACTCAACAAACCTGTACACACATACATTGTATAGTATGCATGTAAAAAAAAGTGCACATGCAACCCAAGTCATACTTGGATTTTTATGATCTATTTTGTTTTCTCTATAATAATAATAATAATAATAATAATATGTCTTGTTTACCCAGGGTATAGCCTCATCAGTATTCATACTGTTCTCCCTGAGGGCCCTGCAATCATATATTACTACCCCGGTCATCGGACTCAGGCTTACCCGCACACAATGTATGCACATTCTCCACTCCCTGTAACCATTTATCCATAGAGTGCTGCACAAAGCTTTTCTGAGTTATTGTCATATAAACTAGCTACACAAACTATTAGAGATGCCCGGTCCCTTTAAAGTCCCATTTACTTTTGGATGGTTAACCACCTCAAACAAATTGACAAAACCAGAGCAATTTCAGAGTTTAAAAGTATGCATTGGCATATTTCTTAGAAGGTTGAATCAAATACATGTACGATAATGCAGGTTACTTTAAAGGTAAAGACCAGTTTTTGAAACGCCCCCCTCTCAAAAAATGAAATGGAAGCTCTTATTACCAATCATGTGAAAGATTATGTTTTGACTAATACGTGATCATACAAATTTTGCCGAGAAACCGCCTACTAATTGATATATTTGGTAAATTATTATATCTATTTGGACCTGATAGATATAACGCACTTGTGCGTAGTCCCATACTTTTTTCTGTGTACAGTGCTTGTAACTTTCCCAAGACTGGGCCAAATTTCTTATCATTGTGATGATTCCAGAACCTTGCAGTACATACCAATACTTATATGCTAGATGATCAACCTTTTCTGATCGATTCCACAACTTTTCTTTCACAATGCAATCGCATGACCAGAACTGGTCTTTATCTTTAAAGTAATATGAATAGGCAGCTTTCAATGTTATGCTCTTGTGTGTTTTTCTTGATAGATATAGGAGCAGATGTGTTAGATTCTGCCGGAGATTCTGCTATGTTTAAATTCAGCGGAAAACTGAAAGAGGAACCAACGTCTTTTGAGATGACTCCACAACAAAGATCCTGGCACAAGTAAGAACTTGCACAGATTGAATTGAATTGAATTGAAATTTATTGTCCCTTTCAGGAAATTCTTTTTTCACTGGTTTACAGTCATTGTACATATATACATAATACCAGAAGAAATACATAATACAATAATATCAAATGAACATGTACATCGTCACAAACATAATTACATTCCAAAAATGATTGAAAACTGCATCTAATACCATTTCAGGTGAAAATTTGAACATTTAGCGTTCTGTTTATTAGAAAATGTAGGTAAGTTTAGTATAAACTATGGTATTGTAGATCATTTCATGAAATGTTGAGAAAAAAGGCAAGGGAAGAGCCCCTCATTTTTGCCAAAATATGAACATTTTCAAAAAGACCTCTTTTTATCTGAGGAAGAAATCTGTGACCTCTATTCATCCAAAATATGGTATTGTAGATAATTTCATGACATGTTGAAAAAAGGTAATTTTTGAGAAAAAAGGGCAAGGGGTTTACCCCTCATTTTTGCCAAAATATGAACATTTTTAAAAAGACCTCTTTTCATCTCAGGAAGATGTCTGTGATCTCTATTCATCCAAAATATGGTATTGTAGATCATTTCATGAAATATTGAGAAAAAAAGGCTAGGGGTTAGCCCCTCATTTTTGCCAAAATATGAACATTTTCAAAAAGACGACGTTTTATCTGAGGAAGGTGTCTGTGACCTCTATTCATCCAAAATATGGTATTGTAGATCATTTCATGAAATGTTGAAAAAGGTACTTTTTGAGAAAAAAAAGCAAGGGGTTAACCCCTCATTTTTGCCAAAATATGAACATTTTCAAAAATACCTCTTTTCATCTCAGGAAGATTATTAAGGTTATTAATCACACTGTATTGATCTGTAGGACTAACTTGGCACCCTGGTCATCCATAGTTCACAGTAATGTAATGTTCTTGTGGATAATTCATTAACAAAATATTCCATATTCAAATACTAAATTGCACGGTTAATATAGATAATAACATAGTTTGTGAACTTCAGTTGATTGAAGGTCTTGATTCAAAACTTGCTTTGCCCTATATACACCTTATCTGTTAATCATGTCTCATGAACTTTTAGGGGCATAGTTAATGGCTCCTAAAGTCTGTTCTACTTGCAAATTCCCTTTTTTTTTTTTTTAGGTTGGGGGATTAAAGGCCCACTGTACTACTTATAGATACCTGCGCCCTCTATATAACACACAATGCCTAATCGGTGACCATTGGTCCCCCATGATCCTCTTTATCTTATGTTAATTGAGAGCTGATTTGATGAGATAACCACCTGTCAGTGACCTTGAAGGGGGGTCTAATCCCACCTGTTCACTAGTATAGATGGCCTTTAAAGGATGCGCTTTAGTCTGCTAATTTAATCTTTAAATGCTAAGTTGCATAATGATACATGTAATGGTTAACTCAGTATTCCGAATTTGAAGCATATTCTTATTATATAAATGTAATGCTTAAGCCACAAATATGTTTAAAGAATATTCTTATTAGTGGTTTTAAAATCCCTGTCTAAGTTTGCTCTCCTACACCAAGGCAGTTAGGGAGGCTCTAAGCAAAGAACATGCTATACAGGATCTGTTATTCCAAACAGGGTTTAGTAGTAAACCAACTAGCCAATCAATGTTATATCTCTTGAACCTGAACTGTTTTGCTCTTCTATAACAGGACATTACAGACAGTAAGGAAGGCTCTGAGTGAAGAACATGCTATACAGGATCTGTTATTCCAAACAGGGTTTAGTAGTAAACCAACTAGCCAATCAATGTTATATCTCTTGAACCTGAACTGTTTTGCTCTTCTATAACAGGACATTAGAGACAGTAAGGAAGGCTCTAAGTGAAGAACATGCTATACAGGATCTGTTATTCCAAACAGGGTTTAGTAGTAAACCAACTAGCCAATCAATGTTATATCTCTTGAACTTGAACTGTTTTGCTCTTCTATAACAGGACATTAGAGACAGTAAGGAAGGCTCTGAGTGAAGAACATGCTATACAGGATCTGTTATTCCATACAGGGTTTAGTAGTAAACCAACTAACCAATCAATGTTATATCTCTTGAACCTGAACTGTTTTGCTCTTCTATAACAGGACATTAGAGACAGTAAGGAAGGCTCTGAGTGAAGAACATGCTATACAGGATCTGTTATTCCAAACAGGGTTTAGTAGTAAACCAACTAGCCAATCAATGTTATATCTCTTGAACCTGAACTGTTTTGCTCTTCTATAACAGGACATTAGAGACAGTAAGGAAGGCTCTAAGTGAAGAACATGCTATACAGGATCTGTTATTCCAAACAGGGTTTAGTAGTAAACCAACTAGCCAATCAATGTTATATCTCTTGAACCTGAACTGTTTTGCTCTTCTATAACAGGACATTAGAGACAGTAAGGAAGGCTCTAAGTGAAGAACATGCTATACAGGATCTGTTATTCCAAACAGGGTTTAGTAGTAAACCAACTAGCCAATCAATGTTATATCTCTTGAACTTGAACTGTTTTGCTCTTCTATAACAGGACATTAGAGACAGTAAGGAAGGCTCTGAGTGAAGAACATGCTATACAGGATCTGTTATTCCATACAGGGTTTAGTAGTAAACCAACTAACCAATCACTGTTATATCTCTTGAACTTGAACTGTTTTGCTCTTCTATAACAGGACATTACAGACAGTAAGGAAGGCTCTAAGTGAAGAACATGCTATACAGGATCTGTTATTCCAAACAGGGTTTAGTAGTAAACCAACTAACCAATCAATGTTATATCTCTTGAACCTGAACTGTTTTGCTCTTCTATAACAGGACATTACAGACAGTAAGGAAGGCTCTAAGTGAAGAACATGCTATACAGGATCTGTTATTCCAAACGGGGTTTAGTAGTAAACCAACTAACCAGCCACAGAGGGTAGATTCAGGCAAGAAGCTGGATGCGTGTAGGTTACATGGCTCTCTGACAACAAATAAGGTATAGAATACATACCACTACATGAATTTAAAAAAAGTCATATTGTATTTTAAGAAAATGTAGTAAATGCTGTTGATCATTGGTAACTAATGACAAGTTGTTCTGGTGATGTGGTACATGAATAAGAAATTATGCACACTGTGAGGTCTTGGAATCTTCTAAATGATTAGAAATTGACTCAATTTTACTGAAAGTTACATGTTCTGCACATAGAAATGTGTGTATGGGACTACATACGCATATGGCATGGATGTTTGTGTGATACTGTTCAGCTACTGGTATTACTTGTCATATTTCAAATATGAGGAGAGTTGAAGAGCAACCCTCTTCGGGGGACATTTCTTCCACTATATTATTCCATCTTATACAAAAATAATGATAAAACTCACAAATTATTTTGTTTTTCATACCAGAAATCAATCTCTTAAAAATAAAATCAACCTTGATAGCAGTTAGCATTAGAGGAAAGCAGAAAAATCAGAGATGTAGACTGGTGACAGTTTGAATGAAATCAGACGTAAAAAAAATGAGAAAGTTGTGAACAATTTGTATGGGTATGGGACAGGTTCTTCAAATTGGCGTAATCCGTGAATCAGTAATGTTCCTGTGATGTAGTGGTGTTGTGGCAGACAACTTTCCCATTTTGTTCCAACACACAAAATGACTAAAATGTAAATTTTCAAAAAATGTATGGGTGTAATCTCTGTAGAGGACCTATAATAATATGCTTTCCAAAATGTATTTGAGTAGTGCCCAAAGGAAGAAGGCACTTCATCATCATCACCACCACCTCCATCACCACCATGATCACCATTATCATTATTATAACATCACATGCATCATCATTGTCACTACCACCATCATCACAACCACCATCATCACCACCACGATCACCATCACCATTATTATAACATCACATGCATCATCATTGTCACCACCACCATCATCACCACCACCATTATTATAACATCACATGCATCATCATTGTCACTACCACCATCATCACAACCACCATCATCACCACCACGATCACCATTATCATTATTATAACATCACATGCATCATCATTGTCACCACCACCATCATCACCACCACCATCATCACCACCACCATTATTATCATCACCACCCGTTTCATCATCATCATGATTATTGTCACCTCCACCATCACCACCATCATCACTATCATTTATTGTTTTAATTATAGTATTTGATGATCATCATATCCACAACTGCAAAATATGTTTTATTGATAATGGAAATCAGAACTCTATTTTTGGACTGATAAATGGATGAATTCTTTTTATTCAGGTTGCTGGTAACTTTCATGTGACGATTGGTAAGAGTATACCTCACCCTCGCGGCCACGCCCATCTAGCACTCATGATAGACCCCAATAGTAAGTATATAAGTATAGTTATTTATAAGTAAGTAAGTATTTAAGTGTAGGTAAGTATATAAGTAAAAGTATGTAACAATTTAAGTATATGAGACGACCATCACAGCCATCGGGCGATGGAAGAACTTAGTTTGATTTTATGTAATTTAGCAACTTTACATGAATCTTGATCTAAAGAGACGCAAACTAAGGAACGATAACCAAGTATTTAAGTATGTACAAATTTAAGTCCAGTATATGTAAGTATATTATAAGTAAGTAAGTATATAAGTATGAGTATACTCTTAAGTTAGTATAAACGTATAAGTAAGTATTTATGTATATGATTCATTGTCCATATCAGGAAATTTGTTTTGCACTGGCTGGTACAAGTAGTACAGTATTATACGTACACACAATGAGTTGTAGTATTATACGTACACACAATGAGTTGTAGTGTTAGTGATGGAAAAAAAGGAGGGTTGCATAAACAAAAGAACATGACATGACATTTCATTTGTATAAAATAACTGACTTGTATGTATCCTCATTCTTACGATCAATTCCATCACAAATATTATCAACAAATTTAGCTTACTATTATTTGTATTATTATTAGTAGTACTAGTAGTAGTAGTAACTTCATTCTGTGCTTATGGTAGTAGTAGCGGTTGATGTTGTTACAGAGAAGGTTGTGTTCTAGGAAGAGGTTAAAACAATATGTTTTAATTAGTCAGTTATAACATTTAAATAGTAAAATATGTTGTCACCATCATCAAAATCAATTCAATTCAACTCGTTATTATGCAAGTGTGGAAGAACATCAGATACAAAATGTTCCCTGAAAAGCATGGCTCTTCAAATGCTTTCATATTCTAAATATGGCATGTAACAACATAAAACTCGGGACGGGGTTTCATGCCACATGTTTGTGTAGCCCCATATACTTTTTTTCTGTCTACAGTGCTTGTAACCGTACCAAGACTTGGTCAAATTCCTTAACATTTTCATGATTCCAGAACTTTGCAGTACAAACCAATACTTATATGCTAGATGATCAACCTTTTCTGATCGATTCCACACCATTTCTTTCACAATGCAATTGAATGACCAGAACTCAGCTCAACTTTATCTTTAAGGTTTAGATTAGGTTTAGGATTAGGGTAAGGTCTAGTATCGAGTCCAGGCTTGAAGTTATAAGACGTTGACTACTGAAGCCTCAACAGGAACCAACCAGATCATGTAGGCTATGGGGTAAAAAAAATTTGCAGGAGCTACAATCAGTAGTAGTAGTAGTAGTATTTCCTGTTTTATTTGATTCATGGTCCTGCAGAGCTGCCAACTAGTGCAGATTTCACGTAATTGGTACGGAAATTAACGATCATTACGGCAGTATGGATTTTTTTTTTGGGTGGCGTAAATATGATTTATCGTAGCGAGTGCTGTGCAGTATGGCAACCATCCAACATTCGCTGAGAAACAAGGAAAAGTATCAAGTATTCTCTCAAGAGAAGCCAATTTTTCATGGTAAACTGATGTGTTGTGATGACCTGAAAATCAATATTTAGCAACTGTGTGTGAGTAAAATCACCATAAATTCAGATAATGATGCACGCCTGCTTCCTCACAGTTTTGGAATGCCGCATAGGAAATTACTGATTTATTCCCCAAATTACTTATTTTGAGCCTTGTGATCACTGATTTTCTGTTCTGGAGGTTGGCAGCTCTAGGTCATGTGTCATAAGCTTGCTTCCCTGCAAGGCTGGTCCTGTTACAAACATTTTTGATTTTTTTTTCTTTTCTTTCATTCTTACAGATTATAATTTTTCTCATCGGATAGATCATTTTTCTTATGGTACACCTGTCCCTGGTATAGTAAATCCTTTGGACGGAGATCTCAAGGTCACCAATGAATGTAAGTAAAAGATCCCTTTTTTTGGGTGAAATGGGCGGAAGTGAAAATTGCATGGAAGATGGAGTCATGATTGTCAACTCAACTGCGCCCAGTCTATTAGCACTTGTTCAAAATGTTTTTGAAATATCAATATTTTGTTTTAATAAATTGTAGAGCATACCATCCAAACATTTCAACTACTTCTAATAGCTACTGGAAAATGTTTAATACACTATAGAGGCAATGATGAAGTAACAACTTTGCAAAACGAATCTTTCAATTCGTCGCCTGGCTTGCAGAAGGGCGTTAGCACTAAATCGCCTCAAACTTTTATGAAACTAACTTATTTCCAAAAAAAAGTTGTGGCTGTGATCTACTATTACATTTATATTTCAAGTTTGAAACCAATTTTCAGGACGGAAAGCAGTTTAAATATATAACAAATCTTTAAATGCGAATAATTTGAAAAGTAGTTTTCGAGCCGCTCGCGCAAACGCCCTTCTGCCAGCCGGGCGACGAATTATAGGAGAAACATTCCTAGATTTTCAATATCTGTTTCATAATGTCTGTGCATTATTATTTCTTACAGCTCTTCAAATTTACCAGTATTTTATTCAGATTGTACCAACCAAGGTGAAGACTCGAGCAGCTAAGGCTCATACACATCAGTATGCCGTCACTGAAAGGGTAAGACTACATTCATTACACATCATTATTACCGGTATCAGACATCTGAGCTGGTCATTTACAAAACCGTATTTGCCCTAGTTTTCATTAGCAGTGGGAACGGAAGGGTATATTCTTTGTATTTTCCTTAGTCTCCCTGCTCGTATAGACTTTGCGTGTAGAGACCGCGCCGTTTTCATTGCGCATCTATTAAACTTGCGCACTTTGCGCACACTCTATTGTGATGTAATAATCACACCAAAGGCACAGTGTATCGCAAATTTTGTCAAGCACTGCTGGTTGACAAAGTTTGTTCAGTTCTTTGAGATTGTCATGGTTGATTTATGTATTTGCTCTAGATGTCTGATTTGGATAACTATTAAAATGTTGATTGGCTTAACTTTCGGTAGATACCACATATATTGCCCTCATAAGACCCATATTGCCCTCGTCTTTGACTAGTTTAGGCAATACATGTATATGTGTTATCTCCCTCAAGGCCAGTCAATATTATATAAATATACCATCACTGAACAGGGATGAATGCATTCATTACTCATCAATATACCATCACTGAACAGGGATGAATGCATTCATTACTCATCAATATACCATCACTGAACAGGGATGAATGCATTCATTACTCATCAATATACCATCACTGAACAGGGATGAATGCATTCATTACTCATCAATATACCATCACTGAACAGGGATGAATGCATTCATTACTCATCAATATACCATCACTGAACAGGTAAGACTACATTCATTACTCATCAATATGCTGTCACTGAATGGGTAAGACTACATTCATTATACAAGAATATGCTGTCACTGAACAGGGATGAATGCATTCATTATACAAGAATATGCCATCACTGAAAGGGTAAGACTACAAACTATACAAGAATATGCCGTCACTGAACGGGTATGAATATATTCATTACACATTAATATGACATCACTAAACAGGTATGATTACATTTAATACACATCAGTATAAAGTCACTTTATGGGTATGAATACATTTATTAAAGATCAGTATGAAGTCACTGAACAGGTATGAATACATTCATTAAACATCAATATAACATCGCTAAACACATGATAAAATTCATTACACATCAGTATGCGGTCACTGAATGGGTATGAATACAGTCATTAAATATCAGTATGAAGTCACTGAACAGGTATGAATACATTCATTAAACATCAATATCATATAACATGTCAAGTTACATTTCTTGTCTGCTATTGTTGGCTTACTTTTAATAGCGCACACACAATATTAGCTTGCCAATCTGAACAGATGCATTTATTGTACCTCTATACATGTATTATCCCAAACATATAAGCACACTTCATGTACCTCTATGCATAATGCATTGCTTTACTCGCTGTTTTGGATAACGGGTAGAATTAGAAACTCTTGCACACTTGAAGAAAAAAATGATGTGTTGTAGTCTCAAAGAATGAATAACAAGTGACTGAGTTCAACCAATTATTTGATTAGGATTTAGAAGTGAGTAAATTAATGGGGAATCTTTTATTATTTGTATTTTGTGATTATTATTGTTTTTATCTTTTACTTGCAGGAGCGTGTAATAAACCATGGCGCTGGTAGTCATGGGGTTACAGGAATATTCTTTAAATATGAGCTCTCATCCCTCGTCATCTCGGTTGAAGAAGTTTATGATCCTTTCTGGAAACTACTCGTTAGACTCTGTGGCATTGTGGGTGGTGTATTTGCTACATCAGGTAAATAAATACATGTTTTTAAAAGTGGACTTCTTTAAGGGGTACGGTAAGTTTAAAACTATTGCCCAAGGTGACCAAGAAACTGAGAAGAAGGTGAAAGAGACAGTGTATTCTTGAGATCAACAAGGAGCTATAGAGAACCGAAGCTGTGACATCATAAAAATCGATTTTTGGAATTTCTCAATTTTTTCTTCATTTTTCAAAAGAGCATAAAAAATAATGCCCAAATGTCGAAAGCTAATTAAATATGTAAAGTATTGGCCGAGATATGACCATCTGAATAAATGAATTGCCTATGGGAACTCAGTGTTACAGTGCTCTGGCTCCTAATGTTATGAACCAGAGCAATATAACACTGAGTTCCCATAGGCAATCTTTTTATTCAGATGGTCATATCTCAGCCAATAATATATATGGAGTCCATGAAGTTGATGTTATGTTTGTTGGTTACAGGTATTATCAATAGCCTGATGGGTCTCATCATGGATGTGGTGTGCTGCAGATTCAACAAGTTCAAGTCCTTGAAGACTGAAGAGGTGAGTCGATTTCCTCTCTCTACCCCCAATACAATGTTAGACAGTAGAGGGCGACATTCCCTCTACCCCCAATATAATAGGGAGTTTTCGCACGGCGATGCAAGTGCTGACAACAGGGTATTTAAATGAGCTGTGACCGTCTCCGTACTGGCTACCGTCGCAATCTAATTTGCATTAGGGAGTTTTCGCAACCGGCGATGCTGCCTTCTACACCGCTTATCGTAGCGGGGGGTCGCACTCAGAGCAAAAATTTTTGCGTAGCGTCCAAACCTTTGACGGTATTCAGCCGAATTAGCATCAGGAGTCGAGCTAGTAAGGGGTGGCGTGATCAGCCAAGCAGAGCACTTGTTAACTGTGACAGTGAGGCTCGCATGTAAGTACGAACGGTCACAGCTCATTTAGATACCCCCAGTCAGCACTTGCGTCGCCGTGCGAAAACTCCCTAATGTTAGACATGGGCAAGACATTGATCTACACTTGCCACACTCAACCCAGGTGGTATAAATGGGTACCTGGCAAGAATTTGAAATGCTGGAGCGCCGTAATAGCAGCACAGCTAAAGCCGTGGTTATAATCTCCAAGTTTGGAAGCGCTAAGTGATTGTAATAAGCGCTATATAACAACTGATTATTATTATTATTATTAGAGGGCGACATTCCTCCCAATCTGCGCAAGTCAGCACGTGCGCAGGTAAAATTCCAGGGAAGAAGATGAGACAAGGTTTCTCCCGGCTTCCATATAGAATGTACAGCAGTGTCAACTAATTCCTGAATTTACTCAAATATTGTTCAGGTTTCATGAACTCCACCCATGATTTCATAAGATGTGTGTACGGTAGACACCACCATAATCTATTGCTTGTATTTTATTGGCTCTGAAACTATCATTTCTATCAGACTTTCCAGTTCTCGACCCATTGTATTTGTATGGGACCTGGAAGGGCCTTTGCCACACATACCCATAGTGAGTGCTACCCTCTACAGCAGAATACCATAGTGGGAATAGCAAGAAAAATGTATTAATTATCCACAAGTAAATAAATGAAGTAATAGATGAAAGCATACCTTTTAAAAAAAGGTGAAAAGCACAAGGTTTGTAAAACATAATTGGAAGAGGTTCAGTGAGAGATCTTAAAGCCCCTCTGCACTAGTTTGGCCAGGAGGGATTAGACCTCCCTGCATGGTCACTGACAGGTGGTTATCTCATCAAATCAGCTCTCAATTAACATAAGAAAAAGGGGACCATGGGGGACCAATGGTCACTGATTAGGCATTATTTGCTATATCGAGGGCGCTATATGTATAGCTATATGTAGTGCAGTGGGGCTTTAAAGGGGAAGCCGACCCTCATATTCACTTGGTTTCAATCAAAGCACAGGGAATCTGATTTGGGAAAGTTTGAGAAAAATCCAGTGGATCAATCAATGAAACACAAATAGTGGGTGTTCTCTCCCATTTGCTCTATACAGAAAAAAAAAAATTGTTTTTTAGCCAGAACGGTGTTGAATAGTTCTGAACTGTAACTACAAGGAATGCTTAAAAAGATAGTTGAGTTCTTGTTTTATACCGCAAATGCCCTCAAAGTGCATGGTTATTGCTCTTATTCTTATTTATGACATTTATAGTGCCCTTTTAGAACCTAAAATTACGACGAGGTCGTTTTAGACCTCAAAATGTGTGAAATTTAAATTAGATACGATCGTACCAATTAAGCTTCACTTTAAGAAAATATGGTGACCGTGAATTAATTAATTAATAATAACAAGACACAGGCCGGATAGTTGTGTGTATTATAAACAACACGAAAAAGCCAACAAAAAGGTAATAATGGCATTGGCTGTAATAAAACGTATGAGGCGCTACCTCTTTTTGTCAACGGCTGGTTCAAAATTACTAAATATTTGTGGGGCTCCACAAATATTAGATATGGTCACATTTATGGATTTTTGAGCCGTCTCTGAACCGAATTTGATCAAACAGATGTTTTTGTCATTTAAATTGTATATTCTTTCATTATTGACACTCAATTTTTCACTATTTCACACCAAAATTATTTTGTGTAGCGCCCTCTGCAACAAAACTCAACCATCCTTTTAAAACATAATTCCAAGGACTAAATATAATGTGCATGTATGACTGAAAAAGACTATGTATGACTGTATGACTTCATGAAATTAATGAAATTTTGTTTTTCTTTTTTGTTCATGTAGGAATCGTTACCTGGCCATCATTTAGAGACCGATCAACCTCCTTCCTCCCCGGGTATACTTGCATCATCATCATCATCATCTACTCCTAACTGATATGACAGACTATCCTCTGGCCTGGTGTTCTAGACCAACCTTTTTTTGTAGGGATACAGTTTGAACTTATTAATAATCTAGGGCCACTTTCTTGAAATTATAATTAACACATGTTAATTATATGTCACACTTTTTTTATGTGATGTCAACAAACTTTAATATACACTATGAAAATGACGGACAAAGAAAGCGGACAAAATATACAGTTCCTCAGGTAGACAAAGGAGCATCCCTTCACTGCTATTATGTAAAAAGGTGAATATGCATGTGACACCTGTTCTACACATTTCTACATAACAGCAGTGAAGGGATGTTCCTTTGTCTACCTGAGGAACTGTATATTTTGTCCGCTTTCTTTGTCAGTCATGTTCATAGTGAGATTTAGGATTGTTTTGTGAAATTGACCCCAGTGTATTATGTCTTCCAGATCCACTGTGATTGGGACATGTATCGTGGTGACATTTGTTTATTTATTTGTGCATTCTGGTGATGCCAGAGTTTCGGTTATTAGTGTGGTATAAAAGAATTTGTTATTTATACATGTATTTACATCAAATAAGAGGTTTTTTTAAAGCGATATTGTAGAAGGAGCACTACCGTAAAATCAATTTTAGCTCCCATCTTGGGTCAGCCGTAGCAGTATGGTCCTGGGACCCGTTTCACAAAGCCTTTCTTCAATGACAAATGACAAAAATCAGTGACAAATCTGCTGATAACCAATCAGAAGCAAGGATTTCAGTAGCTTATAACACAACCTGTCATTTGTCACTGATGACAAGTTTTGTGAAACACCCCCTGAACCTCACTGCTTCCCTAGTTGTGTGTTTGTTCTCATATCAAGTTCTCTGTGTGCGAAGTGGGAATTAGGTATTGGGTTACGCACTGATGACACTTTGACCATGAGACGGTGCAGAAGATTAATCAGTTCAGTATCGCTTTAAAGGTACTATGTCCCTTTTGCAGCCAACCTCAAATGCCGTAGAACTTTGCAGGAATTATTAATATGTCATGTATGTCCCATCTGTGAAATGTAAAACGTTAGCAGTGTCATAATATTCAAATTATGCAAGGAAACCCGTTTACTTGCTTGACTTCACTGTCAGACACTATTGAGTGACCGACTGGCTTTTTTCTTCTTTGGTAATAACATACATGAAAAGAGTTGTAAAGGGTACATGAGCATTTGTCTACATCAATAACCCACTTCTTGTGATGACCAAGATTAAACTGATTGAATCTTTGCGCAGCATAAAACGTATGACCATTCGGTGCAATTGTCTGAAAATCAAGACTATTACTTTTGGGCTTTATAGCCCTAAAGTCGATTTGACAACTAATAGTCATTATTTTCCCACTTGAAGACATTTTCAAGCCCCACCTTTTTTAGGGAAGTTCTTAATTAGTATTATCTTTCAAATGCAGTTGGAATTTAACTTTTTCATTTTTTTGGCCTGCAAATGGGACATAGTACCTTTAAAAGAGCATGAAATTAGATTTTCCTTTCAAATTGGCATCAAATGTATTTTCACCATAAACAAGATGTTTCTATGTGGAAAGTGTATGAAAGAAGGAAACAAGTTGCCAATATTTGACTGATATCAACTTTCATTTGCTTTTCCATTTTTCTTTTTCTTTTTCACTTCTGACGCAGTCCATAAGTTTGGTAGGGGTGTATATGTCTTTCATAGTTATATTTAGTTCTATTGAATGTCTTTTTTTTCTAGATTTGATTTTTGTTTGTTATAGGCTGCAAACTTGCAGTAGATTTGAAGAAACTTTTAGTATTCCAGGGGGGTGTTTCGATCCTAAGTTTGACTTGAATATTATGGAGAGCCATTTGTAGCCTTAAAATAAAATATATTCAAATACAAAATTCAAGTATTTTAGACTTTTCATAAATTACACATCAAGAACATGAAATCTCCTTGATAATAGAAATATGAATGATTTGAATTAACATTTTATGCCTTTTAAAATAACTTCTACAAAATATTTTCAAAGATGTTAACGGCTTTCCATAATTTTTAAGTCCAACATAGAGATAAGTTCAAGTTAGGATCTTTGTGAAACATCCCCCTGGTTATTGATGATCATATGAGACAGTGTAAATATTGCCGAAATCAGAAACGGTATAAACATTCCTTCTAATCATCTTACTAGTATCGCACTTGTACTTTGCAAGTGCATGTACATTGTAGGTGTAGAGTAAGAACAGTGCAACTTCCAAACACATTTTATTTTTGAAAAGCATATTTATTGTACATGTAAATATATTTCATTGGTAAAGCATTATAGTTAAACCCCAGACAAAAATACTGCATGGATTGCCCACCGCTCCCCCCTCCCCCCCCCCCCCCCCCCCCCAAAAAAAAGTTGAAGTTTTATAGTAGGGTTGAGTGTTGAATGGTTTTGTTATGGGGGCTGTCTGTTTGTTTAACTGTCTTTAGTTTGTTTTGTTTTGTTTATTTGTGTTTCCTTAAACTATTTTCTTTCCTCATAGCCCTCCCCCAATGTTAAAGTGGGTGATTCGATCTGCAGTTTCCATGTGCAGAAGGTCATAATTCGCCAGACACCAGACTTGGGGGAAATACCATTAATGAGTGTATACAAGTCTGCACACAGCAAACCTGTCGTCCACTCAACAAATACTCCCTCGTCTCTCTGAGAGTCTTCGGGTGGTGCAACTGCCAGATAAGAACTTTACCATATGGAGAAAAGACAGAGCATTACATAAAGCTTGTTGGTCATTAAACTGAAAGCTAATCCTGGTGATTGACATGCAACACATGTTATTGGGTAAACACCCAAACGGTGTCAAATCCCCCTCGAGAAACCACTTTTATGTGTCTTTAAAGCTGAAGTTGAGTTCTGGTCATGCGATTGCATTGTGAAAGAAATGGTGTGGAATCGATCAGAAAAGGTTGATCATCTAGCATATAAGAATTTGTGTATATTGCAAGGTTCTGGAATCGTCAAAATGATAAGAAATTTGGCCAAGTCTTGGTAAAGTTACAAACACTGTACACAGAAAGATGTATATGGGACTACACGAACACGTGGCGTAAAAATCCTACTCCCCGAGTTTTTATGATGTTACATGACATATGTAGAATATGAAGGCATTTAAAGAGCCATGCTTACATGTCTTATCTGATGTTCTTCCACACTTGCATAATAAGAATTAATGATAACGCTCAAAAATTATTTTTCACCTCTTCCCAGAACTCAACCTTCTCTTTAAATTTTATGTTTTGCATACTGCTAAACAGAGTGATGTTCCATACTGGGATTTCTAGCGATGTTCAAATATTTAATGTTATGTTGGTTTATATAACTTACAAGAACATTGGTAAATAAACATATTTCAAATAATGTGTACTAGTACTACATACATGAGATCTGTTCTTTTTTATCTTGGCATGAAAAGAAAATTAAATTGAAAAAAATGATAAGCAAACAGTTGAAGTTGTGAGGTTGATTTTTCTAAGACAACTGAGTTTGATGAAGTGATTTATCTTTTACTGAATCCGTAGCATAATTGATGGAGATAGTTGTGACACGGACACATGTACTTGACCAATTAGGCCAATTCATGGAGCTCCAAATAGTTCCCTTCCGTAGAGGTCTTATGTGGGAGGAAACTATTTGGAGCTTCATGAATTGACATTTGATCGCATACTGCAGGTGTCACAGCTATTATTTGAATCGCTCATGAAAAGGGCTCATGATACGCTATGATGACTGAATCAAATGACTGGGGTAAAGTGCTTTTATCAGATACCGGGTAATAATTTTTGTTTCATTTGGGGGCTTAACTTTAGAATACCCCACCGATGGGACTAATGTACATAAACGTAAAAATACTAGGGTTAGGATTAGGTTTATTGTTACTTTAAAAGCTTAAGTCTCAAGATTTAGATTCATTGGTGAAGTTTTTGGTACCCTACGAGCGTTTGGTCAATTTTAGTGGTGGGGTAGGCCTATTCTAAAGTTGTTCCCATTTGGGCATGTACCACATAGTTTAGACATTACAAAAATGAAATGAGCGCAATGGGGAAGATAAGTTTTCAATAGAAACTGTTAGTGCCAATATGAGGATTTCTGAATCGTACTGTACTAGAAGCACGACCACAAAATCACCTCTAGCGCCATCTCAGGTCAGCTGTACTAGTATAATGGCAAAAAATAGGAGGCGGCCGCCAGAAGGAAGCGGGCGGGGACCCTAAACATGTTTATTTTTTTTAATGGCCTAATCTGTATAAACTAGGGCAGAAAGTTCAGCAGCGCGCAGTATCATATAAATTTTACAGAATTCTCAGTCGCTCTTTTTTACATAGACTATATATAATAGTCATCAGAAGGATATAAATGTAAAAAAAACTATCTTATCAATAACCTAGCTGAAAAGTGATCAACTTTATTAGGGGAAGGGGCAGTGGCATTGCATATGGACTGTAGAAGATGTATAGTAGGGCACAATTCAATAATTTTGGAAATAATTCTGACAAGAAAAGGAAAAAAAATCATCACATTGAGTAGAGGTGCAGGGGCGGTTCTAGCTTTTTGCTAAGGGGGGGGGGGGGCGTTGACCCAGTGCCAGATCCAGGATTTTCCAAGAGAGGGTATCGGGGCCGAGGCCCGAAATTTGAAAATTGCGCTGACCAATATTTCGCTCAGTTGGGGGTGGGGGGGGGGGGGGTATATATAGTGAGCACTAAAAATAACAACTTCGTTTTTCCTCCCAAAGAAGAAAAAATAAGAAAACAGACTCGGAAAAAATATCAAATGATAAATGTGAAACCAAGGAGTTGAAATGAAACCCCCTGGTAAAACTATAACAAGAAATGTGAGGTTACTTTCGATCCGCCGGAGAGGTACGGTCACGTGATGCTCCAGCACAGGAGTCACATGATATCAATTTGCTAGTGATGAGCTAACTGTAGCTACGTTACGTGTGTTGACAAGTGACAATTTTCGATAATTTTAACGAACATCATGGAAGACATTTCAGAACGAATGAGACGCATCGTCTCTTTTACTAATCCGTTCAAATATATTTCTGCAGGAGAAAACACCTACCATCCCACCAGAAATCCAAAGGTAAATAGTACTTTATTTATCCTATTATTAATCCTGATCCTGGTGGCATGGACATGGTACTACCGTGTAACGCCGTCGGGCCGGGCCAGGCCTCGGGTAGTGCCTTGATGTGTTTGTGAGGTCAGCTGCCGAGGGCTAGTGTAGTTCGGTATGGAGATACCCTACTAAAACATACCCAAAATGAAGTAAATGTTCATCAAATTTCCAAAAAAAGATCATGAGTTAGAAGTTGTTTAATTTGTTTACCTGTTTCTTGTCAATTTTCTTGTTAGTTTTGGAGTTAGTTTTAGTTTTAGTTTTTCTTGTTAGTTTTGGACTTGGAGTTAGTTTTAGTTTTGGTCTTGGAGTATTTTTCACAGGTTTCACTGCAAACCGCTGCACAATTACAAGTAGACCCTACATACTAAAGGTGGGTTGCGGGCGAGCGCGCGCCTGAGCTGTGTGAAGTTATCTACCGTAATGAGGATCTGAAACATTGCACACTGCATTGGCTTCTGAGTTTAGCGCTAGTGCCGGTACTGGACTCTTCTTTCTTCTCATAAAAAGCAGTCAAGAAATCACCCCAAAATACGAGATAGTCTAACAGAGTGAATCTGATAGCGATTTGGTAAACATTCACTGTCCACATGTTCCTGATGATAAGTAAACTTGCAATTTTACGTATCATTTACATTACAAAAACTCTGACCTAGTTTGCGGTGTTGGTTTCGGCTGAAATTCAAAGACATGCATTGTAGACTAGCCGACATGAAAAAAAAAATGTTGCCAATTTAATACTTACTTTACAATGATAGCGTTTAGCTTAGTATACAACTGATGCGCGCATGGAGTTCACAGAATTAGCAAACTCCCTGTGCCTTGTGCACCTTTTTACATTGATGACTGATCAGATGATTGAGTCATCCTGGAAGTACTGGAAAGCGGTCTGTTGGAATCTAAAGACTAAAGCCACTCCAGATAGGCTTTAATGATATAGACCAGTTGTGGTCATGCGATTGCATTGTAAAAGAAACGTTGTGGAATCAATCAGAAAAGGTTGATCATCTAGCATATAAGTATTGGTGTGTACTGCAAGGTTCTGGAATCATCAAAATGATCAGAAATTTGGCCCAGTCTTGGTAAAGTTACAAGTACATGTATATGGGACTACCCCCACATGGCACGACACGTGCATAATATCTATCAGGTCCAAATAGATATAATAATTTTCCAAATATATCAATTAGTAGGCGGTTTCTCTGCAAAATTTGTATGATCACGTATACATTAGTCAAAACATATTCTTTCACATGATTGGTTCCATTTCATTTTTTGAGAGGGGGGCGTTTTCAAAACTGGCCTTTACCTTTAATGGTTACCTATCTTGTGACTTGTCAATATGCACTGTAGCAGGGGGTTTAGGATCTAGGAAAGGCTCTGCCTTTGGAGAATTAATTTGTCAATTACCAGCTTCTATTGTTTCCTATTCGATATAGGTCTACTGTCTACCAAGTTCAACCTCATCCCATGTACTTTTCATCATATTAAAAAAGTCACAGAAGAAACATGAAAATTATATGAAAATCTGCGATATTCACTGCTAGAGTATTAAAAAAAATCGTTTGTAAACCTCCTCTGTGCGTGTTGATGGGCAGCGCAAGCAGACAGGCCGTTAAGTGCAGGGAAAAAATTACTTTAACAATTTTGGGTGCTACTTTTCAAGCTTGTTTGCATGAAAATAACACTGTTTAATTTGTTTTGCATTAAACTCTATGCAAAATTTAAGGGGCTCTTTTATGACTTTCAGGGGCTCTTTTGGGCATTTCGGGGGCTATTTCGCCCCGAGCCCCCTGTGTATTTTTTTCATTCTCGAAGCTTTCTTTTTAATCTTCAGGGAATCATCAGTTTTGCATTAGCACAGAACAGACTGTGTGGAGACCTCATGCTTGAACAGGTAAGATCAACATAGAGTACCCAAGCTGTGACGTTATAAAAATCTATTTTTAGAATTTCTCAATTTTGTCTTCATTTTTCGAAATGGCATCAAAAATAATGTCCAAAGGTCGAAAACCAATTGAATATGTTAAGTATTGGCTGAGATATGACCATCTGAATGAATATATTTCCTATAGGAGCTCAGTGTTATATGCTCTGGCTCATAACCATTGATTAGGAGCCAGAGCATATAACACGGAAAATGAAGACAAAATTGAGAAATTCTAAAAATAGATTTTTGATGACGTCACACTTCACCACTCTATTGACAACTGGCATTTATACCCTAATAATTAGGACATTTTGTAATAATTCATAATTAATATAAAAAGAAGAAGAAGAATTTATGATAATATATAAAAATTGTAAAGAATCACTATCCACCAAATTTTCAAAATTTCAGAAAACTTGGTATTACCTTTAAAGTGAACAACAATGCATCCAAATACTTGACTGAATGTTGAGTTGTCTCATGATAGACTTGTTGTGCAGTTGATAACTAATACTCTTTTCACACTGGTTTTGCTTACCGGGTAACCCTGTACTTTGCTTAGCCCCGTACTATCCTTAACCCCAGACTATTTTTTTTGGCTTTTCACACACGCTGTTTTTAGTCCCGTACTAGCGCCTATTCGGGAATAAGAAAATTCACGCTGTTCTCACTGCAATTCGTTAACCCCGGATATCGTGAATGTTATGATTGGAAATACTTCGCATTAGGCCAGCTGCGATACGCTCCATTGCGTAGTACCGGACTATTTTTCGTTTCTGTTCTCACTCATTTACTTGGCACCGCAATTGCGGGGTTAGCAGGAGTTAGCAGCACAATTGCGGAGTTAGCCCTGCTATTTTGCAGGGTTAGTTAACCCCGTACTATAGGTGGGGTTAGCCAATTTTAGTCCACTTTGGTAAAAGCCAGTCTGAACAGAAAGTGGAATAGGCTTAACCCCGTACTATAGGTGGGGCTAAGACCCCCCTTAACCCCACCTATAGTACGGGGTTAAGCAAAATATTGCCAGTGTGAAAACAGTATGAGTGTTCAGGTTTTGATCAGACACTATACCTTGGCAGGTGAAGAAGCTTGATCTATCCGAGTGTGATGGAGCTGCCCTACTACAATACCAAGACATCCGAGGTATGCCAGCGTTTCGAAAAGCCATTGCTGACTTCCTGAAAGACTACACCAATTCTCCACAAGATATCGACCCAGACAAGGTACATGTACAAATTTCTTCTTATACAGTAGGCTTTGCAGGTGCACCATGTGAGAAAGAGAGGGAAGATTGAGGAGTGGAGAATAAAACTGAATGTACTATTCTCCACTCCTGACGACGGATAGTCAACCTGTTCGAAACGTCGAGCCTCTCCCGCCACCCAGAAAGATATTAGTCTTTTTCAAGACTACACCAACATTCCTTTTCAGGACTGCACACCCTCAAGAAAGATTACCAAGAGTCCTTTTCAGGACTCCTCAATCCTCCCTCTCTCTCACATGGTGCACCTGCAAGCTTACTGTATATCTACATCATCGTGCAAGCCGATACTTACAAGCAGCATCCAAATTTCTTCTTGTAGAACATCATGCAGGTCATTCCAAGGTTTGGAATAGCCTTCATTGCTTTATCCAACCAGGGGGGTGTTTCACAAAGATCCTGAGTTGAACTTATCTCTAAGTTGGACTTAAGTCACTTAACAATTATGGAAAGCTTTTGCATCTATGAAAATATTTTTTTTAAGTTATTTTAAAAAGGCATAAAAATGTTGATTCAAATCTTTCATATTGTCTGTTATCAAGTTTTATGCTGCACCAAGTTTCAATCATTTTAATTTTGGCCATTACAAGAAGTGGGTTATTGATGTACGGTAGACAAATGCTGATGTATCCTTTACAGTTCATTTTATGTATGTTATTACCAAAGAAGAAAAAAGAGCCAGTTTGACACTCAATAGTGTCTGACAGTGAAGTCTAGCAAGTAAACGGGTTTCCTTCATAATTTGAAAATTAGGACACTGCTAACGTTTAAATTTCACAGATAGGACATACATGACATATTCATAATTCCTGCAAAGTTCTACAGAATTTGATGTTGGCTGCAAAAGGGACATAGTATCTTTAATAGCTCTTATCTATTCCATTTCAATGTCTCCCATCAATGTACTATTGTTGATTTGGGTTTGCTCATTTGAAGGTAAAAAATGAACATTTAATTAGTCCCATTTTTTTCCTTCTTTTGTCTTTAAATTCCAGATTCGTGTTTGCAATGGTCTGACTGCATTGACAGAGGTCATGGCATTCATATTGTGTGATGAAAGAGGTAAGGGTCTGGAATGTAGACTATAGGATGGGAGTACCATAGCGTATTTAGAGAGACCCGTGCATGTGTGCACACCAGGCATGGTTCAATTCTTGGAGCACTGAAATAGTTCCCTCCAATAGAGATCGTATGTGGGAGGGAAGTATTTGAAGCTCCATGAATTGAACCTTTCAGTGGAAAAACATACACAGGGGCTCGGGGCGAATTAGCCCCCGAAATGCCAAAAAGAGCCCCAGAAAGTCATAAAAGAGCCCCCCAAAATTTGCATAGAGTTCAATGCAAAACAATTTAAAGAGTGTTCCCTGGAACCTTGTGTGCATACGCATGCAGGTGTCAAAACTATCTCTCTCAAATACACTGTGGGGAGTACCATAGCATAAACCGTATAACATATACGGGTACACACACACACAAAAAATAATTAAAGTTTCGATTTATGCCCCTCCAACTGGCGCTATGCCTGGCAATGTCTCCCAGCTCAGTAATCGGTTTGTTGAATCACCACTCGGAAACTAGAACAACACTCAAATTTGTCTGTCATCTTGGTTTTAAAGTAATCTTTCTTAAAGATCTCAATATGCAGTTTATAATAATAATTCCTCAAATTGTTTTTCAAGTACACACGGCGTACCACAAGGATCTATCCTAGGTACTCTACTGTTTTTGATTTACATTAATGATCTTACACATTATTCTAAAACAAAATTGTTACTATCATTTGTGACAAGTTCACAAGCACAAATCGGCGCCTTCAACTGCACCTCGATATTAAATGAAAGTCCTTCCCCGCGTGGGTTTTCGGCAACAACAACAAAAACCTTCTTTTTTTTTTGCCCCCAAAATAGGGTTGCGCCTTATACACAGAGATTTAAGGTATGTAAATAGACAGTTGTCACAAGCCTATGTTTGTTGCAAGGTCGAAGGTCAATCCATGAAGTTCCTAGGAGTTCCCTTCCACATACTCAGGCCTGATAAAAACCTGATTTAAATCGGTTTCCGGATTTTTTTAAAAAAATTCCCAGTATTGACTTTACACACCGGACTAAGGGGGGTGTTTTCAAAAGGAGGGAACATGCATAAGCGTACCCTAAATAACACTGAGTGGGGGGGGGGGGGATTCATCCAATCCAATTTGTGAGAAAAGTTGGTTGCCCTATTAAGCAGTGCTTTTTATTTGCATTTGTTCTTTACAGATACCATACTGTCACCATCACCTTTATATTCTGGTATTGTAAAAGACACAGGAAGGAGACCCAATGTTAATCTTCATCCCATTCACTTATCAAGCAAGGTCAACATTAAATCTTATATCAGGGGTGGTTTCAAAAAGATCCTAAGTGGAACTTAACTCTAAGTTGGACTTTAATATTATGGAGAGCCATTTGTAGCCTTAAAATTAAATATATTCAAAGCAAAAATTGAAGTATTTTAGACTTTTCATTAATTTCATATCAAGAACATAAAATTTCCTTGATAATAGAAAATATGAATGATTTTAATTAACATTTTATGCCTCTTAAAATAACTTTTACAAAATATTTTCAAAGATGCTAATGGCTTTCCGTAATTATTAAGTCCAACTTAGAGATAAGTTCAACTTAGGATCTTTGTGAAACACCCCCCTGGGGTGGTTTCCTGAACGTTATCTTTTAAGGCTAGTTCAGATATGACATGGTAAACCTCCGCAAAAGAAACCACAGCAGTTTTTTGTTAAACGTATAAATGAATGAAAACTGCACACAACAATGGTCCTTCGCTCATTCACTAAGCTCTGTGTAATAAGATATACAGAAATGTGATGCATTTTACTTTAAAGATAAAGTTGAGTTCTGGTCATGCCGTTGCATTGTGAAAGAAACGTTGTGGAATCGATCAGAAAAGGTTGATCTAGCATATACATGTAAGTATTAGTGTGTACTGCAAGGTTCTGGAGTCATCAAAATGTTAAGAAATTTGGCACAGTCTTGGAAAAGTAACAAGAAATCTACACAGAAAGATGTATATTGGACTACACAAACATGTGGCATAAAAATCGGGCCTCATTTTTAAGGGTAATTTTTAAATTGGCTGGATAGTGATTCTTTACAACTTTGATATATTTGGATGCCCCTGTGGATGTATTATAAGCACTAGAAAAGTTAGTCCCTAAAACACCTCTGCTTTCGAGAAAAATTGAATATCAAAATAGCGCTTACGGCCATACAATGGTAGTTGCGACCATGACAATCTCAGAATATGTAGTTGTGATATATAATTTCTAAACGGTAATAGCCAATCGGTCGATTTTAGACAAGAAACATTGTTTGATGTCCTAATTGATATCTTGACCTTGAGAGGGAGCTATACAACATAAAGAGTTTATTGTTTACAATTCCATAACTTTCAAATTTCAACCGCAACAACGATCACTGAATATATGTATGCTTCCAATTTGTTCATTTGAACCAAATTCATGACCCCATACCAAAACTTTGTATTACCAGTACCTTTAAGCTGTTACTTGTCATATTTGGAATATAAAGGCATTTGAAGAGCCATGCTTTTCAGGGAAGATTTTTTTTCTCTGATGTTCTTCCACACTTGCATAATAACAATGAAAACGCTCACAAATTATTACTCACCTCTCCCCAGGGACCTGTTTCACAAAACTATTTTTCAATGACAAATGACCAAAATCAGTGACAAATCTGCTGATAACCAATCAGAAGCAAGGATTTCATTAGCTTATAACAAATACTGTCATTTGTCACTGATGACAAGTTTTGTGAAACGGGCCCCAGAACTCAACCTTCTCATTTAATGATGATTTCTGAATGTTTTGATATAGCCAGGAGCAGAAGGAGAGGAGCCTTACACATTAACAGTAGAACATCTTGAAAGAGGCTATCAAGAAGCTACACAGCAGGTCAGTCAGTTCAGGGGGGTGTTTCACAGAGATCCTAAGTCAAACTTAACTCTAAGTTGGACTTCAAAATTATGGAGAGCCATTTGCAGCCTTAAAAAGAAATATATTCAAAAGCGAAATTTCAAGTATTTTTTTTTTTTTTAATTTCACATCAACAACATACAATCTTCTTGATAAAAGAAAATATGAATGATTTGAATCAACATGTTATGCCATTTTAAATAACTTTTACAAAATATTTTCAAAGATGCAAACGGCTTTCCATAATTGTTAAGTCCAACTTAGAGATAAGTTTGACTTAGGGTCTTTGTGAAACACCCCCCAGACCATAGATCTCTTTTAATCCTTTCTGTGCAATCAATTTTTTTTACTCTACCTCTCTCTTTTATAATAAAAATTGAGGTTTGAAATGTTTAATTTTGACTTTTTGTGCGTATTTCATTCTTTAATTGGGCATGAGAGTACCTATTTCTTGTCTGGGAAGAAAAAAGTCCCAGTCAGCTAGATTTACATGCAAGTGAATGGGGTAAATATGATTGAACATGCACAATCATGTGATCAAACAAATGTTTTTTTATTCCGTAGTTGGTGAACCAAACAGTGACTGGTACACATTTTATAGGTCAGGTGATGTGCTATTAGCCAATCAAATGCCTAGATTATATCTATCCTACTTTCTTGTTACTATATAATGATTACTATCAAGGAGGATAATAGACTACACATTCTTCCTGAAACTTACTTCAATGTATGCACACAACACGTTTGCATCATGCATGCACGTTTACTGGGTTTATAGCAAATGCCATGAATCGCTAGCAGACACCAATATCACTAAAGCAGAGATGCCAACCAGTATGATTAAATCATATTTAGTACAATAATAAGAGTGAAATACGATAATACGTTTTGTTTTTTTTTCTATATTTTTTTTTTAAACCCATAGAAACAGCGGAATCCCATAGAAACATAATCAAGTAAACCTCCGCAACCCCCCAAGAAAAATTTTCTTTACAATTTTCTCATTAAGTTTTAATGAAAGAGCAAACATTTTACTTGAACGTACTTACCAGTAAAACATTTTTCTGAAATTTTACTGGCCCGGTAGTGTCGATTTTTTAGGATACTCAATCTTTTTTTTTGTGTCAAGAGGTTGGCATCTCTGCTAAAGCCAGCGTCATCCCTAATTTAGCCTCTGTTATCTCATTTACTATCAGGGAAAGCGAGTGAGAGTCCTGTCTCTTGTGAATCCTTTAAACCCTCTTGGGACTGTGTACACCAAACCACAGATACGGGAATACCTTCAGTTCGCTAAGAGGTAAGTGACATGATATGATCTATTATATTAGAAGAGGAGGAGGAGGAGGAGAAGAAGAAGAAGAAGAAGAAGAAGAAGAAGAAGAAGAAGAAGAAGAAGAAAGAGAAGAAGACGAAGAAGAAGGAGGAGAAGAAGAAGAAGAAGAAGAAGAAGAAGAAAGAGAAGAAGACGAAGAAGGAGGAGAAGAAGAAGAAGAAGAAGAAAGAGAAGAAGAAGAAGAAGAAAGAGAAGAAGACGAAGAAGAAGAAGGAGGAGAAGAAGAAGAAGAAGAAGAAGAAGAAGAAGAAGAAGAAGAAAGAGAAGAAGACGAAGAAGAAGGAGGAGAAGAAGAAGAAGAAGAAGAAGAAAGAGAAGAAGACGAAGAAGAAGAAGGAGGAGAAGAAGAAAGAGAAGAAGACGAAGAAGAAGGAGGAGAAGAAGAAGAAGAAGAAGAAGGAGGAGAAAAAGACGAAGAAGAAGAAGAAGAAGAAGAAGAAAGAGAAGAAGAAGAAGAAGAAGAATATTTTACACTTTTGTATACTCCAACGCCCTTTACATGTTATCTCCCTCTCTCCCTCTTTTTCCTTCTTTCTCCCTCTCTCACTCTTTCTCCCTTTCTCCATCTTCCTCCCTCTCTCACTCTCTTCCTTCTTTTCTCCCTCTCCCTCCCTCTTTCTCCCCCTCTCTCCCCTCTCTCTCCCTCTCTCCCCCCCCCCCTCTCTCCCCCTCTCTCCCTCTCTCTCCCTCTCTCTCTCCCTCAGACATAATCTTCATGTCCTTCTAGATGAGATCTACCTGTGTAGTGTGTATGACCAGACCAAGCCGTTTTGTAGTGTACTATCGTTAAGAGAGGATGAGATCCCTGATCTAAACAGGACTCATTTCATGTGGTCCTTCAGTAAGGTAAGAACTGCTAGAGCAGGGGGGTGTTTCACAAAGACTAAGATCAACTTTATGTTGGACATAACTATGGCAGGCCTTTCATGCCATCGTTTGCTCTTACCGTTTACTGCCATTGATCTCTTACAGAACGTACAAATCATTGTCACATATCTACAGAAATTGTATTCTATTATTGAAGGAAAAAATATTATCCAAGATCATAATTAAGAGACTAATGGTGAGAGCAACCAGTGGCAAGAATGGCCTGCCATAGTTAAGTCCAACTTAAGGTGGATCTCAGTCTTTGTGAAACACTCCCCTATAATAATAATAATAATAATATGTCTTGTTTACCCAGCGTAGCCTCATCAGTATTTATACTGTTCTCCCTGAGGACCCTGCAATCATATATTACTACCCAGTCATCGGATTCAGGCTTACCCGCACACAATGTATGCACATTCTCCACTCCCTGGGGATCATTCCAGCCAGGCGTCATTTTTACAAGCGCACACTTGCTAATCTATTGCACATTAGCTTTCGCATCCTACCGGGTACCCATTCAACACCTGGGTGGAGAGTGGCAAATGTAGATCAATGTCTTGTCAAAGGACATTAGTGCTGCGGTGGGACTTGAACCGCTGACCTTGTGATCCAAAGTCCAATGACATATCTACTCGTCCACGACAACTGGCCCTCTCAACCAGTTTATTAGAAGTGCCCAAACCACTATTTTATTGAAGTTGAAGTGCCAACCTGTATGTTTGGTGACTGTCCTGTTACAATGGGTGGGCTACAGGGGTGAAGCCTAGGAAGGAAGCTGGTGAATTTTAGAGCTTTTTGAAAGACCAAAATGTGGCATTTTTAAAACCTTTTAATTCCAAAATTTTATCAATCAGAATTTCATACTGATGTGCAAAAATTATTAGAATTCCTGGGTACGATTACACTGGAAGTAAATTTATATGTAGTTATTTTGGTGCAATAAACAATGTCGATTGGGCTCAACTTTGACTGCGACTTCTTGATTCATCTGAGTTAGATGATCAACCTATCCTGATTGATTCCACAACGTTTCTTTCACAATGCAATCGCATGACCAGAACTCAACTTTATCTTTAATTGCATTCTATTACGATTTGTTGTTTGCAGGATTTTTGTTTCAATGCATCTAAATGTGGAGTGCTGTATTCATGGAATGAGAAGGTTCTAGAAGCAGCGACAGTTCTCATTGACTACCACACGGTATCCAGCCTGATACAGATAACACTCACACAGATACTACAAAACAAAGGTAAAGATAACTTAAGATAAATGATGGCTTCATTCTACACCGCAGATAACACTCACACAGGTACTACAAAACAAAGGTAAAGAGAACTTCAGATAAATGATGGCTTCATTCTACACTCCCCGTCTTGTGTTTTGGAGGGCTGGAAGGAGACCAAACTCATGCTCCTAGGAAAGATTTTTCTGCCCCACCCTGTTTTTTCTGAAAATCCTTGATCTTCCCCTGTGCAGCATATATTTTGGCTCCTTTTTCCTTTGAAAGTTTGCATGTCATAGTCTCAGAACATTCAAAAGGACAAACCGCTTCATCTTATGGAACCCCCCCCCCCTCCCCTTCTCTCTCTCCTTTCGGCTCTGCTTCAGATTTTCAGACCTGCCAACCAGTACGATTTAGTCGTATTTAGTACGATTTTTAGAAGCAAATACGACGGTATGATTTCCTTGATAAAATACAATTTTTTTTAAATTTTTTTTTTTAATTTTTTTAAAAAATTTTTAAATTAATATTTTGTGTGTGCGTCCACCATTTTCAATGGCAAAATGTACATTCTGTCCTGTAAGGTATCCTACAAGCATCTCACATCGGTAATTTGGGGATGTTTAGTGGTTCATCGAACACACCAGTCGTGACGAAATAATGCATATTCAACCAATGATCAATAAAAAAAATTCTTCCTGTAGGTAGAAACTATAAGAGGCATTGATCCGCGTAACAATCCGTGTTTATTTTCGAGAATACAACTTTTGTCAGTAAAATACAACTTTTGACACTAAAGAATACAGTTTTTGAACTACAGAGGTCCCCCCCCCCCCCCCCCCCCCCCCCTTGAGCTTATCAAGAGTCTTTCAGTGCTACTTCTCTCTCCATCTTTTTTCCATCTTTAGCTTTTCCGGAGTCATATCTCTCTCCATCCACCCACTCCACAGATCTTAGTTCAGTTCTTCATTGCTACATAGATCTACATACAACAGGTCTTTTTTGTAATGATGTATTGTTGTTAAAATGACCTAAAAATTTGCATCAACATATGCAAGTACGTTGTTACACCAACAAAAAGTACCTTTACAATTGGATTGTACTGCACTGTCAATAGCTCTCTACTCTTTTGTACTTGTTTTGCATTTCTGCACCGTGCCCATATGTGTACTTCTCTTCCTTGTAGAATGGCTTCACAATGTGTACTTCTCTTCCTTGTAGAATGGCTTCACAATGTGTACTTCTCTTCCTTGTAGAATGGCTTCACAATGTGTACTTCTCTTCCTTGTAGAATGGCTTCACAATGTGTACTTCTCTTCCTTGTAGAATGGCTTCACAATGTGTACTTCTCTTCCTTGTAGAATGGCTTCACAATGTGTACTTCTCTTCCTTGTAGAATGGCTTCACAATGTGTACTTCTCTTCCTTGTAGAATGGCTTCACAATGTGTACTTCTCTTCCTTGTAGAATGGCTTCACAATGTGTACTTCTCTTCCTTGTAGAATGGCTTCACAATGTGTACTTCTCTTCCTTGTAGAATGGCTTCACAATGTGTACTTCTCTTCCTTGTAGAATGGCTTCACAATGTGTACTTCTCTTCCTTGTAGAATGGCTTCACAATGTGTACTTCTCTTCCTTGTAGAATGGCTTCACAATGTGTACTTCTCTTCCTTGTAGAATGGCTTCACAATGTGTACTTCTCTTCCTTGTAGAATGGCTTCACAATGTGTACTTCTCTTCCTTGTAGAATGGCTTCACAATGTGTACTTCTCTTCCTTGTAGAATGGCTTCACAATGTGTACTTCTCTTCCTTGTAGAATGGCTTCACAATGTGTACTTCTCTTCCTTGTAGAATGGCTTCACAATGTGTACTTCTCTTCCTTGTAGAATGGCTTCACAATGTGTACTTCTCTTCCTTGTAGAATGGCTTCACAATGTGTACTTCTTTCCCTTGTAGAATGGCTTCACAATGTGTACTTCTCTTCCTTGTAGAATGGCTTCACAATGTGTACTTCTCTTCCTTGTAGAATGGCTTCACAATGTGTACTTCTCTTCCTTGTAGAATGGCTTCACAATGTGTACTTCTCTTCCTTGTAGAATGGCTTCACAATGTGTACTTCTCTTCCTTGTAGAATGGCTTCACAATGTGTACTTCTCTTCCTTGTAGAATGGCTTCACAATGTGTACTTCTCTTCCTTGTAGAATGGCTTCACAATGTGTACTTCTCTTCCTTGTAGAATGGCTTCACAATGTGTACTTCTCTTCCTTGTAGAATGGCTTCACAATGTGTACTTCTCTTCCTTGTAGAATGGCTTCACAATGTGTACTTCTCTTCCTTGTAGAATGGCTTCACAATGTGTACTTCTCTTCCTTGTAGAATGGCTTCACAATGTGTACTTCAAAACCTGCCATGAGAGGTTGAGAGAGGCAAGAGACATCACCATGGTAACACTGGATGAAATGGGTGTGGCCTACATCAAACCTACAGCTGGGTTCTACATCTGGGCAGACTTCAGCAAGGTAATATTAAGGGCAATAGTCCGGGCAATAGTCAGGGCAATAGTCCGGGCAATAGTCCGGGCAATAGTCAGGGCAATAGTCTGGTCAATATTCCGGGTAATAGTCAGGGCAATAGCCAGGGCAATAATCCGGGCAATAGTATAGATATACCGACTGCTACAAGAGGCCTGGTTGTTTTTATAGGCTCAAGGGGACGTTGCATCCTGCCATGACCCCTCGGCGCGCCGCCCACCTAGACGCGCTTCAAGGTCATGGCAGGATGCAACGTCCCCGAGAGCCAGTATAGAAACAGACAGGCCTCGAAAATTGCCTGTGACCTTTAATCTTCGCTGGAAAGATGACTGAATGTTACAATCATTTGAGAATTGCAGACAAAAAGCACTGTATGGTATCTGCGCTCGCACAAAGTAAGTTTTAACACATACACCAATGGGAGCTCATCAAAATGTTACTATTTCCTGGTACCCAAAAATTATTAACCGCTACTGGCATTGTTCGTTTCTTTAAGGGAATGGCTAAAATCCAGGCCTAGTAATTACCCAATTTAAATTTAAGTCATTTCCTGATTATTTTTTTTGTCCTCAATTTTCCTGATTCCCATTTATTTTCTCTATTTTTCCCTATTTGTGTCCCAATTTTCTTACTCAAAAGAGGGGGGGGGGGAATTTGTTAGATGCCATATTCACAACTCCAATTTCGACCAATCAGATGTCTTGATTTCTAAAGAGAGGTATATAATAAGCAAATCATTTCCAGAGCGAAGCTGAGGAAAGATACTGTGTACATTTATTTGCTTTAATAATAATAATAATACTAATAGTGGGTTATTGTATATCAGTTCATATTTCTCTCTGCAAAGATGCAATATAAATATACAAGGTAACAGAATAGTTAATAACAATTTTGCAACCCCCCCCCCCCTCCAGTTTCTTGGTGCTTCAACACATGCCGAGGAGAAGTCCCTCTGCTGCCATCTTCTGTCGTGTGGTGTCATGATCTTAGTTTCAGCTGGTTTCTATGGCAACGAGCCTGGCTGGTTCCGAGTTCTCTTCTGCAATCCTAAACCAGAATTGGAAGAAGGTTCGTTGACCTTTCTTGACCTGGGTCTTCTTGTTGAACCTTTTCAATGAATGCAAGTTTAAAGATAATCTTGAGTTCCGGTAATGATAGAAAGTAAATTATCACAGAATCCAACAAAAGGTACACTGAATGTTCAAGATAACAAATAAATGACATGTGCCAAACGATTTCGGTAGAAAATGTCTAGGGGCTGAGTAATTATGAACATAGAAAGATAAGGAAATCAAGGTAAGTAGGCCCGACACCATGTGCTTAGCACAGGTCGCTATGTGCAAATGAGAGTTGTGGTTTTTATTGAAGATGATTTCCAGCAAGTTTTTGTGAGGTTGTTTGTATTTTGCTGGTTCAAACAATCCAGAATGAATTGTAGCCATGTTTCATCGACATGTATACGATTCCCATACCAGAGCTCAAGATTAGCTTTAGTTTAAATACTAGTATGAAGTCAAAAGTAATCATATGAGCTTTATCTGTTTCGTTTATACACATCTGAAAGAAGAAATACTCTTATATTTTAAATATAACTGGAAGTACATGTAGTTACAATTGTAGATTCCGTACCATTTTTTTTATGTAGTGGAACATAGTTGGAGACACAGTGAAGATCGATTTCCAAACCACTGGTCTACTAGGGAGTCTCCAGGGCCCCCTTTTCAATGAAAAATGACAAAAAGCAGTGACAAATCAACTGATAACCAATCATAAGCAAGGATATCACTAACTTACTGTATAACAAAAATTGTTATTCGTCACTGATGACAAGTTTTGTGAAATGGGGCCCAGGTTAGGGAAATGTACAAAGATGGCTTTTCCGTTTTGGGCAAGAGGAGGAGGGAGCATTGCATTACATAAAATCTGTTGATCCTTACAGTGAAGACTATTCATGGGGGGCGCTTCACAAAACTTGTCATCAGTGACAAATGACAGTTTTTGTTATAACCTACTGAAATCCTTGCTTCTGATTGGTTGTCAGCAGATTTGTCACTGGTTTTTGTCATTTGTCATTGAAAAAAAGGATTTGTGAAATGAGCCCCTGATGATTAGGAGCACCTCTTATTGATTGAATACTCAAATGGTGTCAAACTCCCCATCAGAACACAGGCACAAGTATTCTCTATAATTTTGTATGCAGGTTTGAAGAGACTGAAAGAAGGTTGTCTAAGCTACAAACCTGGTACGGGATCAGCGATTGCAGATGACCTTGCCGGTGACCTTGCCAATGACCTTGCTGGTGACCTTGCAGATGTGGAGATCTTAGGAGCCTCAGGTATGGCAGTGCTCTAGGTTTAATGAAATATGTCTATTCCCAACTTGTGCTGCCTTAAATTGTATTTTCATCCTTAAATTTAGTTAAAGCTAAGTTTTAATAGAAGAGGGGGAAAAAGAGAAACAGATCAGTGAACATTTGAGAAATATGCGATGAAAAGTGAGGAAATTACAAATTTTTGGATGATGCAATTGATTAGACACAAATTGGCAACATTTCAAGTGTTACAGTAATGTTTGTTTCCTGAAATTGATTTTGAAACACGACTCAGCAGACAGTGCAAGATATGTGTAATAAACAATCAGAGACATGTTTTATTTGCTTTATATAACAAAACTCCCAGATCAATGTTATTTGATTTTAAAAAGGAGTCATTTGAAGATTGGTTGATGTCATTATCAATGGTGAATAAATCCCACATTTTAGAGGCTGACTAAGCACATTCTCAGTGCTGTGCATCACTTACCGTATGTGCCAGCTTTAAGACCGCACCCCCGATTTTAACATTTCGTAGAGAAAAAAATATGAGCTGTTTTGACTGCCGGCTTTTTTACTGTTGTTAATTGCGCATAGGCCGTACCCAGACTTTTTGATATTTTCTCTTCCGAAAATACTGCAGCCTTTACACCAGCAAATACGGTACTTAAATTGTAGGATAGTACTCAAACCCAATCCATGCTTTTTCATGTAAAGAGTGTAGTAATCTCATTAAAGGGAACCAAAACCTTCATACTAAGTTACTTTTATTGTAAAGTTTAAGATATTTAAATAAAATAAGTGAAAATTTGATCAAAATCGGGCAAGGAATAAGGAAGTCAAAGCTTTTTGAAATGACTAGTCACTAGAGGGTGATATTCAATTTGATGCATCATTTATGGACTACTCTTCTGTATTCCTTGCCCGATTTTGTTCAAATTTTCACTAATTTTATTCAAATATCTTAAACTTTACAATAATAGTAACTTAGTATGAAGGTTTTGGTTCCCTTTAAATGAATCACACGTGACTGCATTTGAGCAGTCATTTGATTAGGATCTAGGAATGAGTTTGTATAACAAGTTTAATGAAACAAGACCCCAATTTTTCTCTCTACCATAGGTGAATCGCTTGAATCACTGGTGAGGTCATTCAAGGTCAGCTTGCAGAACTCTGATTGGCTGAAAGAGAATACATCCGACATGTGGAGAAATGAGAATCCTGAGGTGTCTGAGACATGGATAAAAGAACTTGAAAAGAACCCTCCTGAGTAGACTAGAGAAAATGTCCACGCTGTGAGGCATTGTTACCTCAATTATTGTTATCCTGACCTGACCTGGCCTGACCTGACCTGACCTAAGCCTTCCGCACCATCTGGGAGATGTGTGATGGCTTCTGCTTCATGATCTCAAGCCAGAGCTTCCTATCTTGTGACGTTCTGGTTGCTTCTGTGAGGGATCCCAGACATCTAGAAGCACAATCAGCCTTTACACAGTCAAGCCAGTATCTTTGGGTATCCTGATGGTCTCATCCTGTTAACGTGGCCAAAGAATCGCAGCCGTTTTTTTGCTATTTTGTCCAGAATTTCACAGATACATACATGACATATTCATAATTCCTGCAAAGTTCTACATAATTTGATGTTGGCTTCAAAAGGGACATACATGTAGTATCTTTAATTAACGCTCAATTATGTATGGTATTGACTGTTATGACTTACAAGGCTTCCAGCTTCTGCTGACCAGTGTCTTGGAGCTCCAGTCACGTTTGAAAGAAGTTTCTGCTTTTCAGATATTTACTATGCATACAATTCAGAACTGAATAGATCAACTGAATAGATCAACTGAATAGATGAACTGAATAGATCAACTGAATAGATGAACTGAATAGATGAATTGTCACATTTGAAATAATGTTCTGCTTTTCATATATTTACTATGCATACAATTCAGAACTGAATAGATCAACTGAGTAGATGAAGTGATCATATGTATGAAAATCCCTCCAATGTGAAAAATGTATTTCACCATCTTTTTTATCGATGCAAAAGCTTTGTAAACTGATAGTAAGTTTGTAAGAGCACTATATATGTGTTTTTATTGTAATTGTAATGTCATAGGACTGTATTCTACTAATACTGTTAAACCACACCCAGGTCTAAGATTATGTTTAACAAAACAAAACTGAGACCTCGATCAGGCTAACTTCCTTTGTTAAACCTGATTTTGGACAAAAGATTAAACAAGCAATAGGTTTAATTTTTAGTAGAATCCGGGCCATAAAACCTTGCTCACTTGCCAATGGGCCATCAGTGATGATGTAATCATGTAAAACATGAATCGAGTGTAAATTAATTCAATTAGATTGATGGTCAGATATTAGATTGATGGTCAGATATTTATCTAACAATAATTTGACAAGTATTCCTCCATTAACTGATTGGTCCATGATGCGGATGAAACTCTGTAATCAGGAAAGTAATTTCATGTATAATCTAGCCCTACCTGACCAAATGATTAAGAACCCCTATCCTATATCACATGTTCAATCACCAAGAGAATTTTTTTTTTTTTGTGATGTCCAAGTTTTGATTTCTACATTCGTCCATCCTTGAAATGAAATAACACTGCTGCAATTGGGATTTCCATCTCTGGACCAATGTGTTTTTAAATATGCCTATTTCTGTTGACGGTGCAATCTTTCAAGCTTTTTAGTTGAAATGTTAAGAGTAGAAAGTCATTAGTACTGTTCATGCATTCATCGCTCTAAACCTGTAGACGTGTGTGTTGTTTTTATAACTTTGTATAAAAAAAAAAATGTTATCAGAGAATTCAGATTTTATTCATAAATCACATGTACATTCCAGCATTTGGTCGTTTGTTTCCTTGTTGCAGTATTGTTTGTTTGTTTGTTTTTATTTCTGAGTTTTCAAAATAGAACATGATTATATACATAAAGTAACAATTATTTCTTCATTTTACATAATTATAAATTTTTAAGTACATTAAATAAGAATCATACAAACACAAATATTTTTCAATAAAAATAAGAAGATAAATTACAGAAAAAGCAGGAGACCGCCATCATGAGCGGTAAGCTTGAAATCGATGTCGGCCTCGAGAGAATAGCGGCAAACTCTTAAATTATATAATTGTACAGCGAATTGATCAAGTGGGTGCAGTGAAAGTGCATGTGCAAGTGCTAATGGGGTTCTGGTACGTAATGTTTATAATCCAATACTAGTGTATTTTAAGAATTGTGGTAGCTATCTGAGTGCATAGAAAGAAAGGGCAGGGGGGAGGGGGAAAGGAGGCGAATAGAAGATTATTATGACCTCCACCTTAACTTGGTTGTCTTGTTCCCATGCATGCATTAACAGTGGTAGTGGTGATACGTATCAGGACAATTACTCCCTGGACAATCGCCCTCCGGAAACCCCCCCCCCCCCTCCCCCTGTTCATTAATGGGGAAGTCTCCTGATAAAAAGTTGGTTTTAATAAAAGAAATTTTTTCTGAGGGGGAATTGTCCTGGGGGGGGGGTGGAAATTGCCCCGCTGGTAATTGGCTGGGGGGTAATTGTCCTAGAACCGTAGTGATACAATAACGCCCTTGCTACCATATCTTGGTGCTCCCTCACTGTTAGGATTCAGGAAAGAAAAAAAAAGATGGAAGAACAGAAGAATGTGAATAGAAGCTGATACGACTGCCCCCTCCCCCCATAAAAAGGGATGGTTGCCTTGTTCTCTAAACTACATCTATAGACACATGATTGATTGATTGATGGATGGATGGATGGGTGGATTGGTTAATCAATTTAATATTTGATTGATTGATTGATCGTGTGATTAATTCTGGACATTGTGGAGTAGATTGTTTATTGATAACTCAATTGATGAGATGGATTATTTTGTTGTAAAAAGGTTCATGTGACATACATATAATGAACAGATATACCACATCCAGACATAATTGGTAAGAATGAACTAACAAAATAGCCTTATGCTAATCGAGGTTTAATTGCCCCCAGTGCACTGCGGTGCATGGTGTCAATCATTATACCTTTATACTTTATTTGTTTATCATGATATATTAGCCCAAAATAAGATTATATTTAGAGCATGTTTTGTACCTGTTCTAGGGTTCATAAGTTTCATATTTATTGTCCATTTAACAAATTCGTGGTATTTACATAGTATATAGATACAACCACATAAACAGGCGCTGATCCAGGGACTGAGCGTGCCCCCCCCCCCCCCCCCCCGCCGCCGCCAAAAAAAAAGAGAAAGAGAGAAAAGGGAAAAAAAGAAGAGGAAAAAGAAAAGAAGGAGATCCCCCCCCCCCCCCATCAAAAGAATAAGAGGGAAGGAAGGAAAGGGAAAGAAAAAAGGAAAAGAGAAGAAAAGAAAAGAGGGGGGGGGGTATCAGTTGCAATTTTCCCGCCAACAAGTTGTGGATCGGGGGGTGGGGGCAAAATGCCTCTACGCTCCCGACCCCGCCAAAAAAAAAAAAAGAGAAAGGGAAAGAGGAGAGCTAAAAGAGAACAAACAAAATAGGAAGAAGAAAAGAAAAGCCTGAAAAGAAGGGGAGATCGGTTGCGATTAATCCCGCCAACAACGTGTGGACCGGGGGCCGAAATGCCCTTGCCCCCCCCCCCCCCCCAGCAAACCTAAAAGGGAGAGAAGAAAGGAAAGGGAAAGAGGAGAGAAAGGGAAAGAAAAAAAAAAGAGAAAGAAGAAAGGTAGGGAAGATCAGTTGCGATTGTTCCCGCCAACACGGTGTAGGGGGGGGGGTTGACCCCCCCCCCCCTCATAAACTTCAAACGTGGTTTATTTCTAATTCGATACCGGTGATTTATAAATGTTGCTGAAATGACATAATTTTCCGAGATTTTTCTCACTTTTTAGTAATTTATACTTTTGATGCGTTTGTTGGAAGATGCCGACAATTCCTAAATTTACAGGCAGGCAATATATAATGCTTATTTAGAGACCTACATGTCAGGACCCGCGGAACGGTGGAGCTCATGGGCCTCGAGCTCCCCCCCCCCCTTCCTATTTGAAAAAAATGCTCATGTGATCGTAATTAAATGCCCAAAACCATTGATTTTCCGGGGGCTCTGCCCCTGCATCCCACCTAGGGTCCTAAGGCGGCCCCTAGATGCTAATCTAACGGTTATTTAACTTGAATGATTAAAACCCCTGATCTTTTGGGGGCTCCGCCCCCTGGACCCCACGTCAAATAGTGTCCTGCCAGTGTCACAAATAAGGTAACAAAATATGCTCATCTGACCGTAATTAAATGCTTAAAACCCCTGAGCTTTCGCCGCCCTCTGCCCCTAGACCTCGTCCAAATTTGCTACGTTCTACCATGATCGTTATTATTTTAGCCTCCCCATGCAAAAGGTCGCCGTAGTACAGCGCCCTCTATGACAGACTATCATTCAAATTCTTACAGTTCATCTAGCTTAATAATTTATAGGGCCCTTTAGGGGTTCATTTTCGTATGTTTGCTCTTTGAATATATGATTTTGAAGTGACACCACCGGGGGGGGGGGTCGCCTCATCAACATAATCGAATTTCTTGACCTTGAAACAAATTTACATTTTTTCATTTTACTGATCAATCATCTGTGACGTACTGGTGGAGAAGTAATTCTATTGTAAATGTTTCGCATAAAAAAAATGTTTTTATTTTTAATAAGAGCCACATGTATTTGAGAATGGCAGTTGTTGGAGGAATAAGGCAGGGCCTTTGTTGTATAGTTTTAGATGCAAGTTTAAATTTTGTCAAATTCGTAAGAAACGGAACAATAAATCGGGATTTATCATTTTTTTTTAACACGAGCATTATGGTGATATTATTGTTTTGGTTTTGGAACTCTACGGAACCAAGATGAAAGCGGGGGTAGGGGAGCGGGGGTAGGGGAGGGGCGGCGGTCATGCCCATACTTTTCCCCTCAAAGGTAAGAAATTAGCCTCTCCGGCGACAAATCCCCGATAAAAATGCCCGTCCTGCCCGCTAAAATTAGGGCCCCTCCTAAATCAAAAATTGCAATGGATTTACAAAGCATAATACCAACACACTTCTTTCAATGAATCAAAGAAGCAGAAAAAGACGAGCCAATAAAATTGAATAAAATGCAACCGCGGCTAATACATTTTTTGACAATGGTATCCAGTATACCCTTACATTAAAAATTCATTTGCGAGCAAGCGAAGTGAGCTAGGACAACATTTAAGATTTGTGAGATCGCCGTGCGAAAAACTGCATCTTTTAAAGAGGAAAACCCCAATCCTGATGGGGTTAAACACATTCTCATGACGGAAGACCTTTGATAAGTAACATAATTATATCATCTATAAATGCGAGCGAGTGAGCTTTGGGGGAAATTACTCTTAGTTGCTTGAAATTAAGGGCACGTGTAATGATGAGAGGAAAATGGGACACTTATCCGAAAGGGATAAGACGCTTATTAGAAAAGGAAAGGAGCAGGTGTCAAAGTACAAAGGGTAATTGTCAGAGGTGAGAATGGGGCACTTTTTGCACCTAGAAAAAGAGGCACTCACCAGGGATGAAAAAAGGCACTTATGAGAATGGGAAATGGGCATTTGTCGACGGAAAAGGGGCGCCAATCAGATTTTGATAGGGGCATTTATGAAAAGGGGATACATGAAGGTCCCTTATCAGAAAGGAAAAGGGGCACGTATCTTTTTTAAAAGGGGAATTGTCAGAGGTGAAAAGGGGCACTTATCGGAGGGAAAGGGGAAGTGGTTCTCATTAAAAAGAAAAAGAGGCACATGTTAAAATAAACGGGGCACTTATCAGAGGTGAAAAGGGGGTAATTATGAAAAGGGGAAGAGGCACTTATAAGAAGGAGAAAAAAACATTTATCAGCCGGAAAGGAAATGGGGCACGTGTTAAAATAAAACGATTATCTCTCAGATTTGAATAGGGGCAATTATCGGAGGTAAAGGGGGGCACTTATCTGAAGTGAAAAGGAGTAACTTCTCGTATCTGAAAAGGGTCATTTATCAGAGAAGGAAGGGGCACTTATGAGAATGAACAGGGGCATTCATGAGAAGGGGAAGGGGCACCTCTCAGATTTGAATAGGGCAATTATCAGAGATGAAGGAGGCACTTATCAAAAGTGAACAAGGGCACTTCTCGTACCTGAAAAGTGGCACCTACTAGAGATTAAAAAGGGCGCTTATGAGAATGGAAAATGGACACTTATTGCAAAGGGAAATGGGAACTTGTCGAAGGAAAAGGGGTACGTGTCTAAATAAAAAGGGGCACTTATCAGAGGTGAAAAAGGGAAGGGGCACTTTTCAAAGTAAAAAGGGCACTTTTCCTGTGTAAAAGGGGGCACTTTTGAATACTTGAAAAAAGTGGAGGCACTGTGCTTCCCTGTGCCCCCCCCCCTCCCCGGAGCGCCGACTCTGGTGTGGCTTTTTTTTTTCAATCTGAGAGAGAAAAAAAACTTCGTTTCCATAAATTCGAAATTCGCTCGACCTCGATCTACCTTGGTCTGCCAAAAAAGGGGAAAAAAGCAGTGACTGCTTTTTATGGTCTAGTCCATTGTGTTAGTTAATGCCAGGAAAACATCACTTACGGGGGTTCAAAACCCTAAAAAATCGCTTCGCGTCTCGAGGACGATGTTGGGTCAACCCCCCCCCCCCCCTTCCCCCCCTCCCCCCTTAGCAAAAAGCTAGATCCGGCCCTTGGCCTCTACTTAAACTTATTTATAATAAATATACAGTGCACAATGACAGGTCGTTTACTATTTTACGCACTATATAATTATGCATTATTATTTAGTTACTACCACGATCGGATAAGAACGAACCTAGGATAGAATTTTAGCAAAA